CTTGGGGGCTCTAGGGTGTGGGAGGGTGGCTACTGCACCCTGTGAGCAGCCAGCTTTCCTCTCCTCTTCCTCCTCTTCGATGTACAGGCTCGGTGTCACCTTGGGGCCATCATGGCCCCACCACCAGGCATCTGGGTCTTGAAATTCAAGCCCTCCTCGGATGCCTGCCATCACCCCCTCACAGAGTTCCTCCTCTTCCTCTCCAATGACAGAGAGGGTTTGGGGAAAGGGAGCCACATTAGTGTGTGCAGAGGCCACAAACTTATCCCCTAGGACTTCAGATGCCTTTTCAAGGCTTGCAAAGCCCTTTCTCATTGTTGTCAAGTCCGTACTCTTGTTCTGAGTTGTCTTTCTGGGACCCTGGACTGGCGTTGTCTCATAGGGCCGGACTGCAGTTGAGGTTGCACCCGTACCACGTAAAGGTGGCCGCGGGGAAGGTGATTTGGCAGGTACAGCTGCTGGAGGTGATGGGAGGGAAACTGAGGGTTCTTCTTTAATTTCAAGGGTGACTTCCTCTGGGATATTTGGCGCGGCTTGGTCATCTGGTAAGGTGAAAGCACTAAGCTTCTCTAATTCATCCAAGAAGTTGTCCAAGAAAGGAATCAAAGGGTTTGCCGGAGGACACTGAGCTGTCAGGGACGGCCACCCCTGGGTAGGCCCCTGGTGAGCTCCGTTATCTGGGCCAGGAGAAGCTCTGTGCGTGAGAGCAGGGGCTGGTTCACTGGGAGCCAACTTAACAATGAGCAGGGGATGTGAAGCAAAAGAAAGGAAGAAACCAAGAAAATAACGACAGTGTATCAAAACACAGAGACAGAAATGCAGTGAATACAGAACAATATTTTATAGATGTGAAGATATTTTGCTAAATTTTTCTCACATAAAACCACTAGCATGTTAATTAGAAATTTATTTGGGAAATGAAACTCTCCTACTATTCAGAAGGGGTCTTAGTGTCAAATGACAAAACAGAGCTGTCACAGCGATGATAAGGATAGACAGTGAAACCTTAAGAGATTTAATTTCATTTAACAAACAGACTACCTCTTTTAAATGAGGTTCCCAGATAGGGACTTAGTAGTAGAAATGACTTTGAAATGACATTAGTGTGGAATGAAAGCCAATAATTAAACCTTTCTCAGCTGCCGGATTTGTGATGTGTTCTTGCTGTCAGAAGCAGGGCCCATTCCTATGGACTTCCATGATTTTCTCACCTAGGTTTGCCAGGCGATTATAACATATGGCATACCATATTTTTCCATCTTTATACACGAACACATTTCTAAATGAGTAAGTTTGGAAAAATATCTTTTGAGAACAGAAATCCATGATCAGAATGAAACTGAACTTACACTAATTCTTCAAAGTTTTCATTTTGTTATTATTTTTGACTTCAAAGTTTTTAAAAAATTCAAAGTAAGTGATTGCATTGGAAGGGAGCATATGATGTTAGTGGGAAAAAATCTTCTGCTGGACTCCCATCTCTCTCAATAGCTTGACATTTTATGTGAACTTGGGGAGGTATAATTGAAGCTGAATCTTCTGAGTAAAAGTAGACTTCTGTGTATCTTAATATTATTGCTGTTTTGGATATAGTGAACAAATGTAAATTCATTCAGAGGTCTAGAAGGGCTGCCTAGTAACATTCTAATACTGTACCTATTGCTACTGGGCTGGAAAGAATGGTTCATGCCGTGCATGTGAAGGCCCTGAGAGAAGCTGGTGGGTGACATTTTACTTTATTTATTAAAAAATTTTTTTTTGCATTTTAATTTCTTTATTGGTAAGGTATTACGTATTTGTGCTCATCTCCCCATCACCGACGTTTTACTTTAGTTCTTCCCAGGGAGTGATTTTGGTTTGGAAAGAAAAAATGTTCAAGAAAGAATATGGAGCCCTAACCGGTTTGGCTCAGTAGATAGAGCATCAGCCTGTGGACTGAAGGGTCCCAGGTTCCATTCCGGTCAAGGGCATGTACCTTGGTTGTGGGCACATCCCCAATAGGAGGTGTGCAGGAGGCAGCTGATCAATGTTTCTCTCTCATCGATGTTTCTAATTCTCTATCCCTCTCCCTTCCTCTCTGCAAAAAAAAATCAATAAAATATATTTTAAAAAAAGAAAGAGTATGGAGATTTGCTTGCTGGTTGGTTGTTCAGGGTGAGTTGGTGGTTCTGCACTCAGCACTCTGGGGGCCAGGGCCTTAGTACGTATCAGCACAACACACCCCCAATTAAGCTTTGACTTCTGTGTCCTATAATAGGAATGGGCATTTATAGAATTTATTTAGCTGTGTGTGTGTGTGTGTGTGTGTGTGTGTGTGTGTGTATTTTTTTTTTTAAAGCAAATATGCCATGTCACCATGTGGTGGGATAAATGAGACAAAGTGTCACAAAACTCATGTGAGCATCCTATAGAAGATTCAGGACTATGGCTTCTTAGCACCTCATACAATGAAATACTCTACACTTGGTCTATTACTGGATAGACAGACATTCCTAGCAAGTCCTGTATATATTTAATTTTTAATAAGATAGAAATGACCTAAGTCTTCTTTGATGGTCTAGAGAAGTTCCCTTATTGGCAAGAGTCCTACTGTGTGCTCTGTGCTATGCAACACAAGAATAGATTTTGAAATCCTGTGAGATATATAATAAACTCAAGATGATTGATTTTCACTTGCACTTCCTCTCATGGTCAGGAATATTATGTGGATGAGGAAGATCTTTAAATTCTACCCTGATCACCATTACTATTGCAGTGCCATTACCACCATAATCACTAATCTATGTTTAACAGATCCAAAACGCTTAGCTTTATTATGGATGTATTTCCACTGAAAGTCAAATTAAGTATCCTGGAATATCATATAACAAAAATATACCTAATTATACAAAAATCATTAGAATTGGATTTTACTATACAAAAAGCAAGAATATCAAAGATACTATCTACTTATATTTGAGCCACCCCTGAAATACAGTATCACAAGAAATGTGACTGAGTGTGTCAAAAAGTGATTCATAAATCACTTAAATCCCTTCCTTTATTTGTAAATATCAGTTAGAAAATAGGATATGTAACATACATTATATATTGTTGTTTAGAAGTACATTATAGTTCTTTTTCTGAAAATGATAGCGTTCTACACTATGGAGGAATTTTCTTTATTGAGCCAATATCAGAGCCCAGATTACCAGAGGGAATAAAACCATTAAGAATTTTTTCCAAATTATGGATATAAGATTTTCAACATATTTTCCCCAGCACTGAGAATAAAACACTAATTAGTTCTTAATAAAATTTGTACATTTCTCTATTTATAAAATTTAAAATATGGTGTTCTAAGAAAAAACTTAGGAAACTGAAAATACATTTAAATCATATTCACAACAAAGATCAAAACAGTGATCTAAAATATTACATTGCCAATATTAATTGGGACATTATGAAAGAATTTCTTAAGTGTTAAAATAAGCCTTTGTAGAGATACATGCTTATTCTTTCTTACATAATTTTATTTGAAGGTACAGTTGCTTTGAAATTTATTTGGTAGTTCATTTAAGATAACTGAATAGTAGGTAAGCCAAATATGCAGATGAGGATTCTTATCTTTCCATTTATCAGTAGGAACTATTAAAGGAAGAATGTTGATTTCTAAGTGCTAAGCTCTGCTGGTGAAATAAGAATACTGAAGAAGATTCTGGAAAACTTTATAACCAGTCAACCAAAACTGGACAGTACCAAATGGTTCCATTACCCAATGATAATGGATTGAGAAAAATTACCCCTCAATGGAAACCCATTCTTCAAAAAGAAGTAGAATGAATACAATGCCAATCTTTGCCCTTTTAAAGAAAACGCTTCTCTTGAAATAGGAGATAGGAGATCTTAGATTGTGTGCTTTTGTGAAGTCCTCCTAAGACTCATTTTCAAGGAGAGGTTTAGGGCACTGGGGTGCTACTTGAGGTGGACTCGCATTGGAACACGAAATGACTGTACAACATCTGATGCTGATGTTATGTTGCTGGCTCTAGATGGTTTATTTCCCATGTCCTAGCCTTGATCTTAATTATTTATTAATGTAATCAATAAAATTATGCAGCATCATACACTTTTTAAATGTTCAGAAGTACTTACAATATTTTGGAACTAATTCCTTGGTAAATTAAATTTTATACTTGGAGGTTAATGAAAAGGTGAAAGAAATCCCTAAATACTATCTGTAAGAAGAACACACTATATTATAACTTCACAGAAAATTAAGAAAAAAAAATTCGCACTGTGAGTAAAGAAAGTAGAATGGCCCTTTCTAATTAACCAGTTCAGGGAGCAAAGTTCCTTTAAGACCAGATATGGAAAAAGATAATTACCTACAGCCACTAGCTCAAGTGAGATAGTAGAACTGGTACATAATTATCCTAAAACTCCAAAATACACACAAGGACACCTGATGACCAATGACATTTTCATTCAGTCTAATAAAAAAATTGACTTACAGATCTTAATTTAAAATTTTTACTCTATTTCTCTTTATTAAAATAGCTCAAGACTGCTACAGATTTTTTCAACCTAATTACCATCTACTTTGAAATGAACCATTTTGGGATCTATTGATTTATATGTAGGTGCATATATATATATGCATACATACATATGTATATAATCCACTTAATATATACATATATAAAATTAAGCTTCAGGAAAAAAAAAATCACGTTTCAAAAAACCCGAGTTTCAGAAAGCAGGTATACTTATCCACAATATGGGCTCTTATGATACTAATTTTTCTCTTTTGGTATTTTAACTCAAAAGTGAAATTCTCAAAATCAAGCATTAAACCCTTATGCCAACACCCATAAGAAAAATTATATTGACTTGTCACTCAAACTTGGAGGCATAACATGTAAAGCTTTGCAGGAAAGATGATCTTCTTAAGGACCGAATATCACTTATTATCTTACTCCAAGCTCCCACATGTCCTACTATGCTGAGTGTCCTCTTACCTTGTTGGAACTCAAGCTGTGGATCCTGTCGCTCGAGTAGCTGTGAGGTATGGGAGGGTCGGGGTAGTCCTCGGCGCCTTTGGCTGTGTTCCTCTTCACCACTTCCACATAGGAAACAGGGAAGATGCCTTGTCTGCTGGTCCCTGGGATTTTACCTTCGTACCAGTTCTGATCGACTCTCTTGAGAAGAATAACTCTATCTCCCTGTAGCGAACACGAGGAAAATGCATTAGAAGCAGGGAGGTGACAACATGAAGAAATACAATTGCCGGCGTTTCTAACAAACAATAGTTTTTCATTTGGGAGAGTGTTAGACCTCCGGTTTCATTTAGTCAGGAGAAGGCAGCTTAAGTCTCAGTTCATTCCCAAATGACAGCTGATCAACATAGATGCCATTTAGCCACCCACGCATGACATCTTTCCCTAAGGGTGCTCGGCTAATGTGAATGGGCTCATACATGTTCATGCTGGTTCCGTGTGAAATGACGTGTGTCATGTCAAGAAGCAGAACGGTTTCATAGGCAATGTCTCCCTGACAGCATCCTGTGGCTGACAGAGGCCTCAGAATGAGCTTCTGTGGGAAGCAGGAGATTCTGGAAGTGTCACTCGGCTCTCTGTGAGGCGGGCCTGCGTGGGCTGTGGGAACCAGCCCCCGGAAGGGACGAGGTTGGCTGGCACACCATTTTTCTTTTTACCCTGCACATGCTAACCAGTGACAAAGAGGGAAGCGGACGGGGTGGGCAGAGACAGCCCTGTGACAAGCCGTGTCTGTGGCCGGGGCTGACCCGCCAGGTCTGCCTCCGGACGGCCTCACACCAGCTTCCATGCTGAAGGATGGGCCGCATGGCCACAGTGGCTGATAAGTCTTTTTATAGAACCTCCGGCTTTTGGAATAAGAGATCTCTCTACAACCACGAACCCTGCCACGTGCAGGGACCAAGCCAAGGCCACAGAACAGTTTACATTTTAACTCAGAACCACACGTGGCCCAGAAATAAATGGGCAAGATGTGGTTAGACGGTAAAGAAGCTGCAGCCAGCAGATGATGTGGAAGTGTGGGCAGCCTCGGCTCTGACAGGGGTACTCAAGGCGAAAGCCTGCCTTTGGCCAGATGCTGGTGGTGTATCGAGACTGTCCCACGGCCACGGAGCAGGACATACCACAGCTACGTGGGTCTCCCTGCATCTTAAACGGGCGCTGCTTTCCTCTGTAACACACCACACGAGGCTGACACCAGGCTCCTGCTTGAGCGGTCATTGCAGGGGTGGAAGCTTCCATGGAAAGAATGGAACAAGCCACTCAAGATGCCATGTGGCCGCTGGGAGGGTCAGAGGGAATCGGTTGCTGATGCAGACCCAGGTCTCTGGGCCAGGAGGAGGACAGGGGTCCCACCCGGCAGTCACCGCAGGCAGGGGGCGCTCTAGGCCCGCACCCTCCATCCCCATGTGACCACAGTCTATTCTGTATTTTGCGCAGACAGGCAGGCGCCTCAAGCACAGGGACGTGACTGCTTAGCAGACACCGAGCACAGCTGATGGGCCCATTCCCAGGTGTGTAAAGTAGCAGGTTAGCGTCTTTCCGTCATGCTAGGAAGAGGCACTGGGATGGGATAGGCTTCCAGGGAAACGGGGGTCAATCATGAGGCCCCCGAGAAGGAAAATGTCCTGACTGCAGGACCTTTCCTGGATTCCAAGGCAAGCATATTGTTATTATTTTTTAAAACATATATTTTATTGATTTTTTACAGAGAGGAAGGGAGAGGGATAGAGAGTTAGAAACATCGATGAGAGAGAAACACCGATCAGCTGCCTCCTGCACACCTCCTACTGGGCCTACTGGGGATGTACCTGCAACCAAGGCACATGCCCTTGACCGGAATTGAACCTGGGACCCTTCAGTCCAAGGCCGACGCTCTATCCACTGAGCCAAACCGGTTAGGGCACCAAGGTAAGTGTATTATTAATCAAAATGAAAAAAGAAACGGAATGAGGAGGCAGCAGAAGAGCAGCCTCTCGCAGGCTGCGGAGGTGCTTTCCCGTTGCTGCCTTTCCCCAAGTTCAGCTCCTGGTGCTCAGGCCCAGGCACCCTGGGAGGGGCAGGGGGCGGCCCCCGGGGGGGGGGGGGGGAGGGTCCTCTGGCCTTTCTTTATGGAAAAACACAGACGCCACAGGGAAGGAGACAGCCTGGGAGATGCACCAGCCCAGGCTGCAGCCCGTACCTTCCTCAGCGACAGCTCCACGTTCGTGTCCGCGTTGAAGTTGTACTTGGCAATCGCCTCCCCGATCTCTCCGGGCTGGGCCGGGGGCGGCGGCCTGGCGGGCTGCGCTTTCTCCGGAGGGGACAGCTTCTAGGAGGAAAGCAGCGGTTTACTCCGGACCCGCGAGGACCTGGGAGGAGCCCCCGTGTGAGCGGGTGTGGGGAGGACTCACCTCCACGTAGGAGATGGGGAAGATGCCCACTCGCCCGTGGTGCTCGCCCTCGTACCAGTTCTGGTCGATTTTCCTGAGGATGTAGACCGTGTCTCCTTTCTTGAACGACAGCTCCCTGGGAGAGACATGCTCAAATGGGCTTTTTTTTTTTCCCCGCCAAGAGCAGTTATTCCTAAGATCCCTAGACCCGCATTTGGCTGGGAAATAGACTTCCAATGCTTGACCCATTTGTGCACCCTAAGCGTCTATAGACCAACTTTAAGATCTTTATTTTATTTATTTATTTATTTATTTATTTATTTATTTATTTATTTATTTATTTGTGTGTGTGTGTGTGTGTGTGTGTGTGTGTGTGTGTGAATTGTCAGCTGAACATATTCCAGAGCACCGGCATTGTGAGTCATATATCTATTTTTTAGACTATTCATCGCAAATTGGTTTTCTAAAAAAATTAAATTCAAAATATCATGGTGTGTGGGGATGGCTTCTGTTTTGGACACATGGCAGTTATAAAAAAAAATCTGTCCAACCTAGTGGGATAAGGATTTTCCTTACAAATTCTTAGGATTTGCTTATGATATTGTACCTTTGGAACTGTGATTTTTACCTGGTTTTCCTGTTTAGCAATTGAGGCATTACATTGGACGAGTTCCATAGCTGTATTTTTAAAAAATTAAATACATCTCATGTATTAGGTAAATAAAAATAGCTTTTGAGAGAGATATTTACCTAAAACAGGTACCCATATCTCCCGTCTAGGCACTAATGGAAATGACTTAAAAATGAGGCTAGCCCTTCCGTCACTTTCAGAGCTGGCTGGTGGGAGCCTTTGAAAGTTGCCTGAGTTGGCCCAAACCCTGACTTTTGTTGCAAATAGGTCATTGCACAGGGATGATGAGCAGCTGCTCTATGTGTACGAGAGCAGAGCAAGAGGGACGTGAGGAAGCTGCAATGAGATATATTTATTTATGGTGGGAGGGGAACATTTTTCTCTGCCTAAAAACAAGAGGTGGCTTCCTTGGTGAGTATTGAACCTGCTCCTCTGAGGCGCACACCTTCAGGGTTAGTGGGTTTAGGAAGGGCTTATGGGAGGGGTGGTGCGGGCAAACCCTTCGGTCTGTTGCTGATGCTCCCACGGGCGGCCGGTGGAAGAGCAGGCTTCCCCCAGCCTTTGCTAACCTTGGACTGTCACAAAGAGGAAATGAAATTCACGTGTTCTCCCTCGTTATTTTATAAAACTGACATGCATCCTCCAATTGTCACACTAGATTCAAAGAATAGTAGTAGTGAGGACCAGAGTATAATAGACACAAAGCAGATGTTACTTCTCTAATAATAGTTCAAAAAGTGTGAGCTTTTCTTTTAGGAATATATATATATATATATTTAACAGCAGAATTAAGCCATGGTCAACATCTTAATTTCTAAATAGCAATTTTCTTTTTTGGCTCATTCCCTATCTCAGCAGCCTCAGCCAATTCGGAATGATTTTATTTTCTCTCTGTCTTCTACTAGAGGCAGACTCTGGAACAATAAATTTATACAATATGCATTTTCATGAATAAATGTTTGAATTATTGTCTAAATTCAGTCTAAACTGCACAGTGTAATTTTATGCCAATTTACAATGAATTTAATATCTTGAATTCTAAGAGAGACTCAAGTTTCTTAAATAATGTCTGGGCACCTGGGCCCCTGCAAGGTGGCAGGCTCCCTCCCAGTTGAGCCAACTCATGTACCTACTTCCTGTACTGACTTTCCTCAACCACATGCCCATCTGATGAACAAGAGCCTGGAGAAAAAAGGAAAGGAAGTATTGCAACACAGGAGTATGAAAACTCCAATACCAAAGGCCACAGGAGAAAATGTTGCTCAGACTTGAGCTTTTTCTTAAAAAAAAAAAAAAAAAAAAAAAAAAAAAAAAAAATATATATATATATATATATATATATATATATATATATGTATTTCAAAGAGGAAGGAAAAGAGAGAAATAGAAACAAACATCAATGATGAGAGAGAACCATTGATTGGCTGCCTCCTGGACCCCCCCTATTGGGGAATTGGCCCTGAAACCCAGGTATGTGCCCTTGACTGGAATTGAACCCAGGACCCTTTAGTCTGCAGGCCAACGCTCTGCCCACTAAGTCAAACTGGAATCACTAAGCTTTGAGCGTTGATACATGGAGATTTTATGGTAGGAATCTGTGCACAGTTCTAGTCTTCAACCCTGCAAACGGTCCTTGATTCAGATGGATAAATAAATGTTATCAAATCCTCCCAGAAAGTGTTAATTACTCCCCAACTCCCTATTTTCACTTCATCTTGACATGAAAATTCGAGAAACAAAGATGCCTAATTTCTTTTTTTGTTTCACCTACCCATTTGAATTCATTGTGCTGTAATATGTTTAGTGTAGTTTAAAACTCAATGATTCTCAACTAAACTCAAAATGAAAATAAAATTACCCATATCTCAGTTAATTCAGTTAGAGTGTATTGCTGAATTATTTGAACATGTCCCATTGCAATATTTATCTCTTAAGGTATTATTGAAGTGTATAAAGCCAACTTAAATCATATGATGAATACCTATCGTACTTACTTAGATGTCTGAGCCTTAAAGTCATAAACAGCTTTTGCAGGCAGTTTCTGGAAAGGAAGGAAAATGATTAGCACTAGATTAAAATGTTGGGTTTCTGACAAGAAAGCAGTTTCACAGGAATTAAAGAGAAGAGAAACCTCAAGGAATGATTAAAAATATACAATGTAAATTCTATATGCAATTTATGAGTAAATCAGTCAGTTCTTCATTTAGACGCTTAAGCTATAGCAGGAATATAATAGATGGCTTATTTACCATAACTATTGAATGCCATATTTCATCTTAGTAACTAATGTAGATGAGTGTCATAATCCTATATAATGAAAGCCTAATATGCTAAGTGTCAGGTTGTATAGTCGTCCATTCAACCAATCAAAGTGGTTAATCTGATAATGATATGCTAAGGCCGTGCAACCGCTCACTATGACATGCACTGACCACCAGGGGGCAGATGCTCTGACTGGTAGGTTAGCTTGCTGCTGGGTCTGGCTGGTAGGGACTGAGTGAGACAGGAGGGACACACCCTGGAGCCCTCCCATAGCCCCTCTCCCCCATGGGCCCACATTGGGGTGGGCCAGCCGGATCCCACCCATGCATGAATTTGTGCACTGGACCTCTAGTAGGGGAATAGAATATCTGCAGAGGATTCTGTCCCAGGTATAATTTTGGCTGTAACCAAGGCATTTCCTGGGATAACTGTGGAGTCAGTTATCTATGTCTTATGTATTGGCACAGCTCCATCTGAATCCTAATAAAAGGACTGATGAAAGTTGAGAAGGAAGTCATCATCCCTTTTACTAAACACTTATGAACATAGTAGCAGAGAAACATTAGCCCAGTTATCACTGGGAGGCTAGTTAGTGGCCAACAGTATAGGCTGGATGATCTTGCATTCCCCGAAGGGTTCAGGGATTCTTCAGCACATAAATCGGCTGCTCATCTTTTAGTCATGACATGTGACGTATGCTCTCCATAAAACCTTGGAGCCCACAGATCTGACTGGGGCACCAGCAAGCTAGCTACTCCAGCTCTTCCTTCCCTACTTCCCAATGAGTCCCTCACCCCACTCTTTTTCTCTGTGATTCTGGTGAGCTTTAGGCAGCCTGGACCATTCTTGACTTCTTTTGGCAGGGAGTCCCACGGGCACAGGGCTCTATCAGACACCTATAGAGATACTCCTGGAGGGGCTGCCAGTCCAAGACCAGCCTCCAGACCCCACCAGATCCTCAGGGCTCCAAGGTAGTGTGAGCCAGAGCTCCAGGCCTGGCTCAGGGCATTGGTCAAGAGCTAGTGGGTAGGTGATTTCCAGGGGCAGTGATTTTTAAAAAATTATTTAAGTATTACATATGTCTCCCTTTTTGCCCATTGACCTCCCTCAGCCTGCTTCCACTCCTGAACAGGCCCTCACCCCCCGAAATTGTCTGTGTCCATTGGTTATGCATATATGCATGCACACAAGACTTTGGTTGATCTCTTACAGGGCAGTGGTTTTTGTGGGACCCTCACAAACAAAAGCAGGCCAGCAACAAATATCTACTTAGCCTTTGTATTGATTTGCAACATGGTTGACCTAAGGCTCCACCTACATCCCTGGAGCAGGAGTTTGCAGATGCTTTTAGACCACGACTGTTCATTCATGGCTGTGAGGTTCAGATGCACAGAGGTCTCACTGCCACAGCTGGACCACAGCTGGGGCTGATCTGCAGTTGGGCTCAGAACAAAAACTTTCCAGTCCTTTGCTCGGACTCCAGGGAAAATGTTCTACGTTTCTCCGTTGTCATCTTTATGTTTTTAGTCTGTGTTCTTTACTGGATTTGGATGTCACTTGGACTGGTTTTCAGGTAACTTATTGACAGAAACTTAAATGCAATTGAACAAACTACCTCTTTTTCCGGAGTTCCTCCTCTTCTTTCCCTCGGTGCACTCCTCCCCAAGTCAGTCACAGCGGACACGTAACTTCTAGGGGACTCTGGGTCTATTGGAAAGGACAGGGCCAGAGTGAGCACCCACCTATCAAGGCAGACATGGCGAGCCATTCTCCCTGGTGACAACTATTTCCGCCCTTAAGCATGGAGAGACACCACGATGGAGAACATGGGTATGAAACTCATAGGGAATCATACAGTTGTGACACTAGACATAAAAACAGAGCATTTCAAAAGGAAAACTACCTGAGGTTGCAGAAGTATCATAGTCGTACCTATAAATAAAATGGTTGCATTGCTGATATAATTATACAGCAGCCTCCAGGCCAGGAAGGTCCCAGTTGGCAGGAATTTGTCATCTCAAAGACCTTTTAATATTTTCTATTTCTATTCTTTTTGCCTCCAATTTATAATGACTATTTTTAAGGCCTAGAGAAGATGGAGAATAACACTAATGTTCAGAAATGGAGACATTTTGTGGAACAACAATTTAAGAATGCAGTAAAAAAAAAAAAAAAAAGAAAAAAAAGAAAGAAACTATGACGATGAATACATAACTACGGTAATGTCCATTCTCTCTCCCTCTCTCTCTGTTTTTAAGTATTTATTGAGACTTGAGATGTCATCTTGAGGCTTAATGCTAAAAGGGCCTTATTTCTGTTCTTTCCTTGTGCTCAACTTAGCTGATCAGAAAGTAAACATTTATCCCAAGAAACAAAGGGATAAACATTCTCTAAACAGATAAACATTCTCTAAACATCCATTGCCAAATTGCTTATGAAATAGTAAATTGTTTTTGTTCCCCTTAAAGCAAAATATAAATAATCAGTTACTTTACAGAATTATGATTGCAAGGAACTCTTAATGGTATCTTATACCTTACACATTTATATGTGGAAATGTTACTTAAAAGTATTCTAATGGCCCATGTTATAAAATTTTACCAGTATAACTGGATCAAAATTTGTAAATTTTTTTCTCTTATGACTTTGATAAATGCAGTTATATTGAATAGCAAGATGCAGTAAATATGAAATATATCCATCTGTAAAGGGATGAGAAATACCGATTTATAAAAAGAAAATATGGTCTAAAGGTTTTGACTGTTTTGATGACAAGGAAGAATTGTCCATTGATAATAGGTGTCATGTCAGTTACATGACAGATAAAGATAAATGCCTAACTCTCTATGAGATGTGGAGTCCTTAGATTTAGCAAGGTAGCCTGGCAATAATATTCAGGTAAACTTAACCAGTTATTTTCATGAATGCTACAGGTTTATGTGCAGTATTTTTTCATTGTAAATTAATATAGTTTTATGATCACAGGGCTTTCATAGTGATCACAAATTTTAAATTACTTTTGCTAAGCATAGCTGGAAAAGTAAATATTTTAATAAAATACAAAATACCCTTGAAATGCACTGCAAAGCCCTCTGCACTCATGCCTTACTGATAGCATATACTCTATCTGCATATAATGTTGAGTGGTGATTAAACTAAGACTTTGAATAACTGGAAAAAGTAGCTAATTTATTAAAAAATTAGATTCTGACATGGCTCAGTCAGCGAAAATTTCAAATTGTAGACATTGATTTTGAAAATGCAAATTTATTGTTTTTGAATCATGTTGCATAGTGTAATAGAGTGGAGATAAATACTATAATAACATAGTAAAGTTGTGCAATGAGAATTAGTGAGCCATATATTACATTAATATGAAGTTTGAATTATGTCTTTTTTTGCCTATGGAGATATAGTCTATATTACAAATTCTGAAGTGTTAGGAGTTTATATCTGTTAGTGCTACCTTCTCTCTACATGACCTTGGTCAAATTTATTGTCCTCCCTGTGTCTCAGTCTCCCTCATGTAAAACAGTGTTTATAATAATCCCTATCACCTAGTTGTATGCCAGTGTTAACTGGATAATGTATGTGAAACATTTTGCAATGTCTGGTGATCCAACTTCTTAAAATCTACATAGAAAGCAGTTGCACCTTAAGGATTCATGAAAACAATGGTATAAAGATATCAAAATGCCATGTGCTTTTCAGTTATGTAAACCTCAAAAAAACATTTTCTGCATCTGAATTGCTATCTGTCCTTGCGTTGCCACTTCAAGGTGATAATCCATCTATGAAAATAGAGTTGAGAGTCACTTTTAGCCTAAATGGTCTAATTCTAATGTCAGTATGGGGTTACTGTAGCAGAAATAGAAAATAGATAAATTAAGCAATGGAATGGAAAAGAAAAGGAATACACTGAGTGATGGAAAGGAGACTGTTATATATACATACAGTTTAAAGATACAATCACAAAAATTTTACCCTAGTCGTGTCCTTTAAGTGGAGAAAGTTATTAAATAAATCCTAGTCTCTTGTAATCATCCATCGATTACTTTGCTACATATTTCAGTTTTGCTTCCTGAGTACTTTGCTGTAGAACCTTCTACATAGAATGTAAGCAAATTACTTATTGAGTGAATGACTACAAAGTTTTAAAAAACCCAGGAAAGCCGAAACCGGTTTGGCTCAGTGGTAGAGCGTCGGTCTGCGGACTGAGGGGTCCCGGGTTCGATTCCAGTCAAGGGCATGTACCTTGGTTGCGGGCATATCCCCAGTGGGGGGTGTGCAAGAGGCAGCTGATCAGTGACTCTCTCTCATCGATGTTTCTAACTCTCTCTATCCCTCTCCCTTCCTCTCTGTAAAAAATCAATAAAATATATTAAAAAAATAATAAAATAAAAACAGAAGATGACAAATTAAAAAAACAAAACAAAACAAAACAAAACAAAAAACCCCAGGAAAAAACTAGTGGCTAGTTAAAATCTAGTGCAAAGGTGTTAATCTCTTAAGGAGACTACTAGTCAATTACGGGGTGTCTTGACATAATTTAAAATTGGTAAAATGTTTAATTTTTTGTTGTATTGTAACTAACAGTTGTCTCAACCCTACCATTGAGCTACAAAACCACTTTCCCTTTCAATTTCAAATGAGTAAATTTTTGTGAACTGGTGATCCAGTCACGCCACACACACCACGTCCAACCATCACATGGAAAGATGAGATCTATGCGGTGAGGCGCATGTGCACAGCAGTGGTCCCAGGTGGGCTCACAGCTCAGGAGGGATGAGATGTGGGGATGGAAAACGACAGAGCTGGAGGGTGGGCATCGGAACCACAGGAGAGACAAAGGAAGGTTGGTCCACCTTGCAGACCCAGGGCACTGTCGAGGTCTGGGTGGTAGTTGTTATTGGCGTCCATGTCTGGGAGAGAGGCACTGGGAGGCGGCCTCCCACAGTCGCTCTGGTACCATGGACAGTGGGTAGCACCATCTTGGGGCAGCGGGTGGCAGGGCTGGGGCAGGGGGCTCCTTCTCAGAGCTCTCAGCGAGGAGTTCCTTTCGGGCACGTCCGGCAGCAGCTCAGTGATCAGACGGTGGAGGATGCTGTTGTCGGGCAGACTCCCCCTCCTCTTCTCGGCCTTAATTTGGTCACAGATGTCCTGGAGGGCCGAGTCCAGAGCCTCAAAGACGGCCGTTTTGCAGGTTGCCTTTCCCGCCTGCTTTTTGGGCGTCGGATGCTTTTTCCTCCGGAAAGGCACGGGGCTGACGAGGAAGGCGAGCTTGGACAGGCCGGGGTCCGGGTCCCGCCTCCTGGGCTCCTCGGTGCTTTCGTGCTTGGTGCGTTCGTGCTTTCGCATCGTGGTGAAGCGGGTGTACGACGCCGGGCACCTGCCTTTGCAGGAGCTGACGAGGTGCCGGTGGTGGTGGTGGTGGTGGTGGTGGTGGTGGTGGTGGTGGCCGGAGCCGTAGAAACTCTCCGAGGACGTGAAGGAGAAGTGGTCGAAGTCGCTCTCGCTGCAGAAGGACGAGCCCTCGACGTGAACGCAGTCGCTGTGCTCGGACACCACGCCGTCCTGGTCGCTGTCGGAGAGCTCCAGCTGGGCTCTGGGCGGCTCCTCGCTGGTCACCTCGATGTGGATGGGCACCAGGCTTTTCGACGTGTAGCCCCGTGGCCCCGGGCCAGGGTGCCTGCTCGGGGGGTCTTCCTCCAGCAAGGACTCGACGGAGAACCGCCTGGAGGGGCAGAGCCCGGGGAGCTGCGGCTCGAGGGCCGCGGGGGAGAGCATCTCGTCCCCGAGGTTGGGCATGGACTTGGACTTCTGGATCAGCTTCTCGAACTCCGAGATGCGGGTGGGCACCATGTCCCTGGGCACCTCGGAGTCGGCCGAGGCCTGGCTCCACCCGGGCAGCAGGCCCCGGGCGTGCGGCTCCTTCTCGTACTGCAGGACCCTGGACTTCACGGAGCACATCACGTCGGAGCTCAGCAGGTCCTTGCGGTTGATGCGGTGCATCTTCTTGTACATTTTCAGGAAGCCCGGGGCGTCGTGGGCCGGCCTGTGGCGGAGCCGGGACCGGCCGCCGGCCCTGGGCTCCGGCAGGAAGGAGGGTGCCCACGGCCCCGGGCAGCCCTCCCGGGGGTCCTCCTCGCAGAGCAGGGAGCCCATGCTCTCCGACTTGGCTCTGGGGTCGGGGAAGCCGCTGTCGCAGTCCTCGTCGTTCAGGAGGTCGTCGCAGCTGCGGGACTTGATTTTGGGGGACACGGCCTCCTCGGTGCTGCTCCAGACCTCGGCGTTCTGCCGGGCCATCTGCCAACCGTTCTTGAAGGCCAGGGCCCGCTGCGAGTCGCGCGGGACGTCCAGGTGCTGTCCGTATGCGGGACAGCCGTCTAGCTCCGGGCAGGGGCTGCCGCGGGGCCCTGAGCAGCTGCAAAGGGGTGCACACATTTTGCTATCATCCCCACCTTTCAATCCAGAGCAGCGTGGCGGGAGAGAGACGTGCGGAGAGGTTAAAAGTTTCACAGAGAGCAGAGAGCAGGTCAGTTAGCATCAGACAGACAGGCAGCAAGAGAAAGCAGCGGGATTAATACAGACACATGGTTACCCTCCAAGCTCCCCCTGCGGAGAAAATGGTCTCATCCTAAGGCACGATACTATGTTTGCACTGAAGGTAGCTTTAGAGATATTAGAATTGACAAGACCATGCATAAAACATCACTGATGTAGCTCTGTGGTTGGCAAACTGCGGCTCGCGAGCCACAGGCGGCTCTTTGGCCCCTTGAGTGTGGCTCTTCCACAAAATACCACGGCCTGGGTGAGTCTATTTTGAAAAAGTGGTTTTAGAAGAAGTTTAAGCTTAAAAAATTTGGCTCTCAAAAGAAATTGTAATCGTTGTACTGTTTATATTTGGCTCTGTTGACTAATGAGTTTGCCCACCATTGGTATAGCTAATATGACCAATAGCTAGTAAGACCTCTTTCCTCTACTGAATACTTCATACATATTTCTGCAAATATCATTTGCCTCAAATATGGTAGAGTATTGTATACGTTAATAGCATGACCTGGTAGCAATTTAAGGGTTTAATAATGAATGCCCCAAATGATATAGATACTAATCAAGTTAATAGGGTCAGGATTTGAATCTCATTTGATATATACTATTATAATAGAAAGGTAAAGCGTAGCTTGTAAATTTGCATTTAATTAAAACTCCACAACTGCCTTAGTTAATTTTTCATGGGCACTAGCTGGGAAAAGCTGTAAGATGAAGTATTTTCCAAAATGGCAAAATGAAGACACTGTGAACTATGGCTGCTAACATTTTCCAGAGGGGGGGAAAAATACACAAACTAGCATGTCTTTAAACAAAACTAACTTACCTCTTTACTCGCTCCACCTACAACCTTTTGGGAGGCAGGCTGTCACGAGCATGGCTGGGTATATATGATGTGAAACTTTCACCAGAGGTAAAGGCATCCTGCTTTCCCCAGGGAGGGTCTTTTTAAAACCTCGTTTACCATTTGATAACAGAGCTCAGCATGGCCTCAGTTCGGAGCATGCATGGGAAAACTCTTTTCTTTTGCTTGGCTGAATTGACTAATAGGTAAGAGGCCAAGTCCATCTGAGGAGACATTTTCTCCTTAGAAATAAACCGAGTGGCAGAAAATAACTCTGTTGAGCACCTGCCTTGCAATCTTTCCAACTTCTTGGAACGTAAACAGGCACATAAAAAGCAGATAGCTAGGGTTTGGGAAAGGAAGCTGGCTTAACACTCCCTAGGAGGAACACACACAGCTAAGTCAATCAATCCGTTTAGCTTTTGGGTGGTCTCCAAGCATAAAGACTAATGGCATTTGGGTGCCTGTGTGTTATCTTAAGACATTCATTTGCATCAATGAGCAGACTCTGATAAAGGCAACCTTGCTAATTTGAGGACAGGTATCAAAGGGTCTGCTCCCCAACCCCCAAACTTCTGGTTAGTTTTCAGTTTTATTAGGCTATAGAGCAGAGCTGGTGTCTTCTGTCTATCCAGACTCTAGGCATAAAAACCAGCCCATCTTTTGCATGCAAACCAGCTCCCTCTCCCCTTGAACTACCACGTGGCCACGCTGTTAGTGCCTGCACTGGGTAGATGTGGCGGAATCGGTGCTATTGCACGGAAACTCCTGTGAGAGGCCGCTTTCTTCACACATTTCAGATTCCTTCTTGGTTCTGTCTCAACCTCAGCAGGTGGGAGGAGACTGTGGAGCCCCAGATTTGGTATAGACCCAGGTGACACTGGGTCAAGCCTCAGTCTCCCTCTTAGCAACATCCCTGTTATGGTGGCACTAGTGCATGCAACAGGATGTCAGGGACATGAAGGAGTAACGTGCCCCCTTTCAGCACAGCTTGCTGGATTCCGGAGAAGAGAAAGGTCATATGGGAAAAAGGCTTGTTGGTGTCTAAGCTTTATAATTATGGCTGAAAACCAATTCATTCTTACCACCGTGCCATCATGGATTGAACACGGTATTGATGGATATCCTACTGTATATATGCATATTGACCGAAATAGAGAGCAGGTGATTAAAGAAATGACTTCACAGGTTAGACAGATTTTATCAGGAATTAAATAATAACAAAAAAGCCCAATTCATTTTAGGCAACAATGTTCTCTGTTGCTACTTCTACTTCCTATTCTGTAACTTTGATTAATTTTGCTAGTTGTAGAACATTAGAAAAAGTTGATAATATGCAAGTGTTTGCAAATGTAATCCTTTCTTAGCCTGCCAGTAAACTATTTGATACTTTGAATTTGTCTCCCCCCTCCCTAAAAAACACACCCAAAAACGACATATTTGGAAGGAAAAAAGCATTAACAGAAGATAGACTCCTTTATGCCACTTGGATGGCTCAACCTGAGTTAGTCTGTGTAGGAAGAAAGCTATTGTTCCAAAAGTTCATCGAAATGCTGTCTCTGAATGGTTATCCCTGGGCCAGCATTCACAGGGAACTCCAGCTTAAAACATGTACTAGCAACGTGTTTACATTTCTATTCACTGCTGTTTACCTTTTGCTCTGGATGGGGAGGAAGGGGAAGAACTAATGAAAGACTGGGTCAGGGTGGCACTTGATCCCGGGTGGTCCGCCCGGCCGGGGCTGGTCCTGCTCGCCCTTGGGTCCCCCAGGCCCCTCGGCTGCCCCACGGCTGGCTCGCTCTTCCTCCTTTTCCGGAAGTCACTGGCCAGGCCTGCAGAGCTGCAAGAAGGAACCACTGCAGTTTGGTTGGTGTTGGAGGGGGTTAACGTGAACCAGAAAGACGGTGGGATATGCTAGCAAGTGCTATAACCCTTCTCCTCCACCCCCAAACTGCATTTTTAGGAATTTGTTCCTTGATGTTAAATACGATCCTATCTAATAAAAAGGTAATAGGCAAATTGACCCCAACAGCAGACATCCGGGAATGACCAGTTGCTACGAAGCACACTGACCACCACTGGATGGCACTCATGGGCCCAGTTTACAAAGTCTTCTACTTACGCCGAGAGAAATCTAGAAAAGGGAAATTTATGTTATGAAAATGTGTGTTGTTGGTGATAAAGTGTGGCTGGGAGTTTGAGTTATTCGATAATGCTGTTGAACTGTGCCTGAATTTCTGTAATATTTTAAAGTAAGTATGATGTACAAAGCCCATGAACAGAACATACCCCAGCAGACTTTTAAGGCAGGACTAGTGGTTGGTTACAGGCTATTTTGGGTCAAGTTTACTTTGTCTCTGCTTCTTGTCAAGTGTGTAAACTTAGTAAGTTATGGAGCCTGAGTGTCAGCATACTCAGAGATAAAATGGGGGTGATGGTACTTAAGTACAGTGGTGTCTTCAGGATTGAATATGCCTATGTACTTAGAATGCTTGGTATATAGTGTAAGTCCTTATTTATTGGCAGTACAGTAATTCTAATTTGTGTGGTAAGAGTAAATGAACACATATGTGTTTTATAAAATTTTTTAAATATACAGGGATAGGCAACAGTAGTTTTCAGGTGTGGGAATACAAAACAGTTTATTCTGTGTTATTATTTATTCATATTATAGCTGTCAACCTACTTTTGCACACTCCTGTATTAAATGCGTCATATAACAGTATTGAAAAATTAGATGTTTATAATCCCCATTTAAAGAAATGGTTATAGAGGAGACAGGGAAGGGTAGAATTTCTCAGTCTGTAAAGGAGTCCAGAAATATTTCCCTTGATTTTTATAAACTTTTGAATATGATCATATAAAATGATGCAGAAACAAAACAATTTCATGCAGTATGGTACGTAAAAGAAAAACATAATGCGTGATCCCCATTGCTGTTTCACTGAAAGAGAAAGCACTGGCACACAATATTCCAGCTGCATAACCTAATAACATTCTTACCTACTGGGTCTTTCCAGGCTTCTATCTATAGAGGATTGATACACGGAGGCCTGTTAAGACAGAAGAATAGTACCGTGAAAAAATTGTACTTTGTCCATGAACATTAAATCAGGTATGCTACAAAGGATATTGCCAAAGTTGAGATTAAAAACAGCATTTATTATGATCAGAAAAAATGTCTCCAAAAGAAATCGTGCCACAGGGTTTCTATTTTCTTCCCATCTGTTGTTTCTCTTCTGATTTAAAGCACTGTATTGCTCTGTTTTACTCACATTACAACCTAAACACTCCCTGGGAGAAAAAAAAAAAGAAAGAAAAATCAGTAACTGCTCCTTATGTTGGAAATTGGCTATAAATAGAAATTTCCTACATAAAGAATGGTTTGAAGATTTAAAAAAACTTTGTAGACATTCAATCCTTATAAAGCATAAACTTTTTAAAAATAAATTTTTGTCATGTTGTAAGTGTTATCTTTAAAACCTAAAATTTAAGCTGAACTTGAGACATCTTTCATCTGTCAACATAGACATAACATTTTGATAAAAACCACAGAATTTGGCTTGAAATGAAATCAAGTCAGGTATAGATTATTACATCTTTTAAATTGTTAACCATCTTTCAGGTAAGTTTATAATAAATGAGTTAATGAACCAATATATAGCCTTAAAAAAGTTGACTTTTAACATTTTGATCAGCTGTCCATGATTGGAGGAAATAAAAACTGATAAATAATTCCAAATGCTTTTTATACACACCATTTTCATGCTCCATTCTGAACAGTATAGTGAAATAGATATTAAGCAAAAATGTTATATAAGAATTTTTCACTTCCAATGGCTACCCACTGGAATAATTGCTAAAATATCTAAAAGGTAAGAGAAAATCAGGTTCTAGAATGCTGGAGGTGACAGTGATATTTAGAATGTATAGGAAAATGTGTATTAAATAGTCTTGGCTTTAGTACTATTTGATTACTTCTTTATCACAAATAAACTTCTTTATCACTTCATCTGGTCTGATAAAGAACTGAAATTCTAGTTTGAAAATATTCTTCTATATGAATGTCTAAAAATGCTAGCCAAAAATGCAGAATTTGACACATTTTATCTTTAGTTCTTACCTATAAGAAATATTTTACTAGATTAAAACCTTCTTAGTGAAAATTGAACACTTGAAGAACTATTTCTATAACTGTAGTTTCTATTTGTAAATTAGCACCAATTAAACAGTTAAAATATATGTATATAATTTTGAGATTCTTTATGTAGATCAGTTTGACAAGCCCTTTTATGAAGCAGAATATAAAATTGTTTCTATTAAGTAATATTTTCTTTTAATTCCATCTTACTAAATGAGAATGGAATCTTGACCAGAAATAAACAAAAGCATCTTCTGCAAAAGAATAGTCCCCCCAATAGATGGAAAAAAGTCATATTGTAATATTTTTTTAGTTCCTAAAAAACATTCAGATTTCTAGGTTCTCAATAAATATAAACTTAGGGGAAAAAAAAGTTTGGTTTGCTGATGTGATAACTTTACAAGATTATTTTAACTCAACTCTGAATCAGACACTGGAAAGGTGGAAAAATAAATACTAATTAAGAAGGAAGACCAACAAGTAAATAAATAAAGCCATGTACTAATATTTCGATTTAGGAATATGAATTCTCTATGTTTGCAGAAGAGCGATACCCAACAGCCTCGGAACGTCGCATCTGTATGGATGGCTCCCTTCCTGGGACACACAACCACAAACCACAGCTGGTCCTCAGAAAGTGTCAGTTTCAGAGCACTCTTAGAACAACCCTGGAGTGGTCAGAAACTTTGGATTGCCAGCTTGGGATGAGCCTAAATAATATTGTCATATGCATTAAAGCATCCTACAGGAAGTGAAGGCTCTACACTTCCGATTGTTTTAGACTTGGGCTAAGAAACTACAGTTCCTCCTTGTGTTGGTTTTTCCACAATCCAAAACAAACAGAAATGGATTGTGTGACTTTCTGTATACTCAAAGGAAAAGGTGTAGTATTAAAAGGAAACGGTAAAAAGTCTAGGTAATGACCAAGAGAAAACCTTGTACGAGATTGTATGAAGGGTACTCATACTGAAATGGAAACTGTCTCCAGAAAGGAGGCAACATGCTTTACCTCTTATGATCGGCTGGGCATTCGGATGTGACCATTATTTTAACACACCTAAGCAAGGGTCGTTTTAATAACATAGAGTCACCGAACCACTCTTTTTGTTAAGTGATCATGTGATTATACGTGCTTAAAAGTCCTTAACACATTGCGGACGGATCACGAGAATTCTCGTGTTTCCTGCTCTAAAGCTTGTGGCCAATCATACCTTAAAAAGCCATTAGCTTGTAAGAACATGTAATAAATAACTTTAAAGTGCAATGGGCATTTAATTTTAAAGCATGCCTTTAACATTTATACAAAAAACATTTTTTGTACTCGTTCAATAGAAACTTACCTGGCCACTGGGTAAAGCTAGCAATAAAACTACAGGTCCACAATGTGTTCATTATTGTTCATTAATGCCAGTTTCTCAGTTTTACTTATGGATATGTTGTTTGTGGCATGTGCTAGACATTTGATAAAAGTTAGTGAAGGTAATGTCTTATCACTTTAAATTTTTATAGAAATGTTGGACACAAGTTATTAAAGTACCTTATCAAAGTATTTTTTACACTCTGAAAATAACTATGATGTGAAACTAGTAACATAGTTAATATGCTCTCAGGATCATACAACTTTCTCAATCCCAAAGAAGTAATGGCAAATTAATTTAACCATCAACATAACCATTACCATACCAATATAGAATGCACAGAATTAAGCTTCTACTATTTTTAGGCCAAGAATTTAATAGGAAATCAAGAGTTAATAGGAAATAGTTTTAAGTCTATAGTTTGTTTCTAAAAGATTTGAGCTCTAAATCCATTTCCTGGAAGTGCTAAGAAGTATGCTGTAAAGCACATGTGTCAAACACAAGGCCCGCGGGCCAAATCCGTCCCGCCAGGCCTTGCAATGTGGCCCGCACCGCGCTGTCATCACTGCACTCCGCTGCGTTTCCATCACAATGACAGTTTATGACTGTTCAGTAAACCATTTGGCCCGCGATTTAGGCTGGATTTTAGATTTTGGCCCCTTCTCTGATTGAGTTCGACACCCCTAGTGTAAAGGAAAGAGCCGGTATGTTAAGGTTATGAGGTCTGTTTTATTTTTAATGTGTCACCATCTTACCATGTGATTTTGGACATTACTTCCTAAAATTATTGAGCTCTACTTTTCTTGACTGAAAAATAAGGGAGTTGGATATGGTTATCTCTAAATTCTATTTCAGTGGTCAATGAACCAACTGCCTTAAAAACAACCAAGCAATATCTGGCCAAAATATCTGAGAAAAATATCTGACCAAATTGAATTCCAAAATAAAATTTTGGGCCATCCATGTGCTTAATTGACACCTTTCCTTCAGCTGTCAAGGAAGCATAAGAATATACTTGTTTTTCTTTCCAGAATATAATTGAAATACTTTTATTTACTTTATATCATATGCCTATTTATAAAAAAAAAAGTGTTTAGAAGTGACTGAACTCACTAACCCTGAATGTTCCTGATTACTCTATTTTACTCTTAATTGAATAAATGCCTAAATATTTGCATAACTTCTATTTAACATACACTGATGCATAGCTCAGGGGAATGGAAGCTCTGGTAAGCTGGCTATTTCCTTTGGAGACTGTAATTGCAATTCCAGTTTTTACCACTGTGTGTCAGTACTGCTTGCAGCAGCACAGGCACTCCAGTAGCTTTATTTTACTTTCTAGTTGCACGTATTTAACTGAGTTAAGACTTTTCACTGAAGACGAAATATTAAGTATTTTTATGTTTATTTAGGACCACAGAGACACTACTATTCAAACACCCATTTATTCCCTTCGTCCTAGCTGCTTCTAAGAGTTTTCAGAGAAGTGTTTATACACTGGTGTTTAGCAAGACCGTCACTTTTGCTTGTTTGCTAATGAGTCCTAAATCTGCTTTCCAAGCTATTTTATTTTTCTTTGCAAAGAGCAGGATAAAAAGCTTTTGACTCTGGATTATTTATTTCCCTTTGACCAATTCAAATAAAATTTTACATTGCCGGGCATAAGTTTATTTTACCTAGCAGACGGTGATGAACATTTCTAGAGAGAGAGAGAGAAGGCAAATGCATTTCATGTCATTCTCCAGGGGTAATCCAGGTCGTGTGTGGATTACAGGTGGAGAAGGATTGGGAATGCCTGTCGGTGTGGACCCAGAAGTTGTAACGTGTGTGCCAGTTACTTGTCAGCCCTGTTCATTCCTTTTTTTTTTTTCTTAGCTTTAAATTTTTTTTTCAATTCAAGTTTACATTCAATACTTACTCTGATGCATGTCAGCCCTATTCTTGATTTTGTCCGATGCTAACATGCATACATTGCATTTAGGAAAATGAAACAATTACAGTGCATTTTGGGACTATAAGGGGCCTAACCATCTGATTATCTAAGAACCTAAAGGTTCATTTTGCACCTCCAGGCATGGTGCTTAATTGGCTCTGAGAAGCCTCCTGGGGGCATGTTAGTCTAATCCACATGTGTCAAACACAAGGCCCGCGGGCCAAATCCGTCCCGCCAGGCCTTGCAATGTGGCCCGCACCGCGCTGTCATCACTGCACTCCGCTGCGTTTCCATCACAATGACAGTTTATGACTGTTCAGTAAACCATTCGGCCCGTGATTTAGGCTGGATATTAGATTTTGGCCCCTTCTCTGATTGAGTTCGACACCCCTAGTCTAATCAAAGCAGGTGGTCAATACTCGCACAAAGACCACTTTGCTTGGTGTTCTATGACCCCCTCCTCCCCTGGATAGCAGGGCCCACTTTTCAGAAAGAGCCCACACGGTATCATTCTTGTCCATGGAGTATGACTACGTAACGAGGCGAAGGTAGGAGCTCAAAAATAGCTTAGACACTTCGGGAACTGTAAAACACAGACAGACATTTGGGATCGCAGTAACAGCCCCTAAGAGAGAAACATGAAAAGGAGAGGAATCTGTCTTTACCTCGTTGGGAACACCAGGAGAATGGTCTTGAACATAGTCCAGAGCCTTTTTAGGAGGCTGGGTGTCGGTGCACACCACAGAAGCAGAGTGTAGAGATGGAATGGAGGACAGTCAATGGCAGCAAGGAATGGACATGTGGAAAAGGTGACAACAGTTAGAAATCGAGTGGCGACAGCATCAGGTACACACACAGAGGGACACGCGTGGTGCGCCGTGGGGGTGGCCTGGGAGGAGGAGGGCTATGTTTGTCACTGATCTCAAGCGCTGGCGGTGTGATTAGTGTATCGATAGACTCGGCTTATCAGGTCCAGTTAGCACTCCTAGTCTTGGGGCACGGAGGAAGGCGAGGGCGATTAAAGAAACATTAAGGGAGCAAGTGGGCACGTGGAGAGCATGCTGTGAGCTTCTGGGGTGGCTGGGAAAGATGCTAGAAAAATGCTGCTGACAGGCTCAGGACAGAAATTGGGACAGTCCCCATATACTGATCAACAATGAGAATACGTGCCACATGGAGCTAGAGAATTTGTTGTCTCTGAAATAAAATACATTGATGTGACTGCTAGGATGCAAATTAAAAAAAAAAAGGAAAAACTATGCCTCTTTATGAGGCATAAGACAGTCTAGGAAAAATTCTTCGGTGTATATTTATTTACAGCCACTTTTGGTCCAGTTCTAACCCAGTCTCCTTTGCATTTTAAAGGGCAAAGGGGATTACTACATGCAACCAGGAGTGAATATAGGACGTAGTACCTGAGCATATAAATCAGCCTATGATGTGGCAAGAGAGAGATTGTATTCCCTGGTCTTTAGTAAAATTCCATGCGGCGTAATAAACAGTATTTTCTTTGAGAGTTTAAAATTCAGAAACACCAGGAAATGCATCAACAACATGGAACTGACACGCCTCACAGGCACTGCTGCTGGTAGGTAGAGTTCCACAGTAAACCTTGAGTTGATGAAGGAAATTGCTTATTGGAGGCCTGTTGACTCTTTATACCACACAGACCGATTTCCAGAAGGTTCCCTTTGGCAGGGGTTTGGGGAGGTGGCTTCCAGTAGCAAGACTGGAAATCATTCCTTACTTTTCCCTTTCCTTGTGTCCCTGAGAGTAGAGGTGTGTCATAGTGGGGATGTTCTGGCAGGAGGTCACTGTGGGAATTGTCCAGAGGTGTTTTTGTTGTTGTTTGGTTGGTTGGTTGATGGGACTGGGCTTGACATCTGATTCTGTCACTTATTATCCTGGGCAAATTACGTAGCCCCTCTGGTCTCTGGTTTCTCCTTCTTGAGGGGCCTTGTGAGGACTCCCTGGGGAAATGCCTGCAGACCCAGCCTCGCCACGTGCTTGGCGATTCTTCAGCAACAAGGGCTATGCGAATAGTACTTATTGTTGTTATCAAGCCATCATGCTCTTCTGAGTGAACTAGACCAAAGTGGACTGTAAACAAATACACAGCTTCTGTAGACCCGCCATGGTCTGGCTGTGCGAGGACAAGGCCTCGCAGCAGTTTGAATTTGCTCAGATATCAAGGGCGCCTTGCGGGTGATTGAGTGGTAAAGAAACACCGCATAGCACGTGTCTGAGCATGTTTACCCGTGTGGTCCAGAAATGATTGTGGGCTGAGTGTGCATCTAAGTACACACCCAACGTTCGTTCTCTGCATGACGCCAATCGCTCTGACAATATGTTGTGTGAGTCAAGCCACATCCCCCTGGTTGGTGTTCTCACGGGAAGAGTCCAGCCTCACTTACCGGCCGTCCAAACTCCAGCTCTGAAAAGAACTTATACCAGGGCTCCTTCTCTAACTCTACGTCATCGGGATGTATGCGGTCAGTCTAGAGCAGACGTGAAGGAAAGGGAAGGAAAAGGCACACTGAGCGAGGTGAGGAGGATGCTGTGTGGCATGACCCACGCGCGCATTCACACGCCAACGTGCACCTGCTCTCATCCCACGCGTCTCAGCCACAGAGGATGGGGGGGGGGGTGGAGGAAAACGGGTAAATCGGGGATGGAGATGAGCTTCGAAGGCATCACGAGGGCCCTGGCAGCCTCCTCTGTCCACCCTTCTGCATCCCTCCTTAGCCTGAGGCATCACCCATGAGAAACTGCCGGTGACAGCGAGGAGGCACGTTGACAGCTCACCAGGGCTTTAGGCCACGCTCAGCTGTTGCTGGGCAGCCAGCTCCCGGGGTGGGGCTGGGGGTGGGGGGAGGAGTTGGGAGAAAGAGATCAGCACATCTGCCCTGGCTGGTCCCAGCGTTCAGTCTGCAGTGCAGACAGTCCACTCAGGTGCAGGAGGTGGGAGCCCGGGAAGCCAGAGGGCAGGTGGGGGGAGATCCAGGCAGGGAGGAGTGAGGTGCTGGAGGCGGTTAGGGGTCCATTGGCAGGAAGGCTGGGGTCTGGGTGAGGGGCAGAGGGGCAGCCAGGTGGAGGTGGAGGTGGAGGTGGAGGTGGTGGAGGTGGAGGTGAGCAGCCAGCCTCTGTCTTTCAGCCCCTGGACAACACCTACATGTCCTGACAGGCGTTAGGAAAGCAAAGGAAGGAGGGAGCTCACCCAGATGGGAGAGAGAGCCGGGGTGCTCGGGCTTGGTGTGGGGAGCCCGCTCCTGGGCGGAGGGGAGGGGCTACCAGTGACTTCTCCACAGGGTGACATAGGAATCGGCTTCCGGCCGGGCTCCCGGGGAGCAGGTGGCGGAGTTGTTGGGAGGGGGGGCTGTAAGAGAGGCGAGGAGAAACTGGTTCGTTAGGCAGAGGTGCTCAGGGCGTGGAGGGGACACCAGGGCAGCGGCTGCGGCCCTGCCTGAGGCAAGGGAGGGCGGTCCCGGCAGAACAACTTGGGATAGTGTGGACCATTGAAAGAATGGTGTGGACCATTGAAAAGATGGTCTGGACCACTGAAAAGATGTGGAGGCAAGGGGCCTCTCAGAGCGTAAAGAACGAGCACATTTTGTCCCTCTGGGTGGCTCAGTGGTTGCGTGTCAACCCGTGAACCAGGAGGTCATGATTCGATTCCTGGTCAGGGCACACGCCACGGTTGCATGCTTGAACCCCAATGGGGGGCATGCAAGAGGCAGCCAATCAATGATTCTCTCTCATCATTGATGTTTCTATCTCTCTCTCCCTCTCCCTTCTCTCTGAAATCAATAAAAACATTATTATTTTTTTTTTAAAGGAAGAAAGATCACATTTTATGAGATACCCCAAGGATCACTTTTTCCTGTAGACCTTGAGCTATGAAAGTGGGTTTGGTTGGGGTTAGTTTTTTTTTAAAATATATTTTTCACAGCACCTTGGTGGCTTATGGCTGGGCAGAAAGCAAGGGAGAAAATCTACCCTTGTAATTTAGAGAAAAAGCCAGTTTATAATCGACTTGCTCCCCTTTCGTGGTTACTGTATTTAAGAGAGAAAAACGAGGAGTGTTAATATAAACTGTTGGACAAAATACATCAATTACTTGAATAAGAGCCAACTCAGCATCAGAGCATTTATGTTACCTGCTGACATCCCAGTGCTCTCAAGTAGCTCTGAACCACACTGTTCTGGGCTCTGGATTTCTATTAAAAATGGGTGCTTACGGTACTGCATATGGGTTAGTCCTTCTCTGGTGATTATTACATGGGACTAATTAAACATTGTGCAATTGGGCAGTACAATTTTAAGTCAGAAAAAGACCCCTTTGTGTCCCTAAAAGCCATTCCTCCGATCAGAGGAGGACATATTCTTTGTAACCCTGGATGCTTTGAGATAGTCCGTATTCAAACAAAAGCCATTATTTTGAAATTAGCTTGTCAGAGTGTTTTAATGATTCTCCCCCATAGTGTAAAAATAATATATAGCCTATATTTATTAATATATTATATCCAAAAGATTTTCAGAGAGGTGCTTTCTATTCCAATATTTTATAATATGAGGTTATCATGGTAGCTACAGACAGAAACAGAAAAATTGGGACATCATGGCAAAATAGTGGCAGGGTCTAAGTTATCTGGCGCGTGCAGTAATCATCATGATAAAAGCCATGGAGTAACCGTGGGGAATATTTTGGGTGGGATGCTGAGGGATGAAAGCAGAATAGGACCGTATGTTTGTACAATAGTCTCAAAGCCTGTGGCAGGTGGGGCTCCATAAGAAAACACACATATTTAAATAATAACTGAAGCATAGAACTACTTCATGGAATAGTTCGCTGGAGAGGATTTTTAGGGAAAATGACATCAGAGCGAATTTTTCAGCAAATTTTGTTTTGTCTAAAGAGGCCTGATCATTCCTCCACAGAAAAATGAATCTTTGGCCTTCTTCAAATCTCATTGTTCCTAATGTTATATACTTAAAAAACATGGTGAATTCTTGGTTTTATAATCTCGGCTTTCAAGTACAGTCTTTGAGGGAGACAAATTTTTCTTAGAGGAAACAAATAAAACACACACACATATTGAACAGCAGAGGGCAGCACATTCACCAAACAAACCATGTATTTACAAGTGGTTACAACTTCACTTAGACTTCCACCTTAAGAAACTCTAGAAAGACAGATATACAAAATCCTGTCTTACAGAAACATATTTCTCTTCTCCAATACTGAAAGGGGAACAGAATGTCTGTTGTCCTGTTACCCTACCTTAGAATGGCAATTTTCTCTGAATTATGATTTTGTAGATTAAAAATCCAGTGTCTAGTCACAGTGGGCAGCTATCGGGAATCCATGCCAATAGAAAATAGAGGAAACACCCTAAACAGCGATAACTGGTCATTATCTCTCACACTGGGATGTGATGAGGGGCACGTGCTTGAGTCTTTAGGGTAAAGAAGCTGTAAGCGGCAGAACTGGAATTCTCTCTCTGCTGTGGCTGATCTATTGAATCCTGTTAATCATGTGACAGTTAACAGTGTTAGGTGGCAGCCTAGACCCACTGCTAAGGTACACAGAGGCCTGAAGACAATAGTGATGGACACATGGACAGTCAGCCAACAGACATACACACTCCTAATCTCACTAAATCAACACTTTCCACTTGTAACTTGAAGGTTCCTCTGAGTGGTTGGACGTGAATATTAACACTTAGATACTCATAGGAGAGCTCTCCTTGCTCATAAAAGACAAGAGCAGAACTATTGTAGCATATCTTTCTAAACGTATTTCTGGCTTTTCCGGAACAGCTAGCAAACTGGTGCTTAAAACAAAAGTCCATAAAGGCAGAAGGAAGTGCTTATGAAAATCTAAACCTGCCTGTCACACAAGGGTGAGCAATCTGTAAAATGGGTATGTTTTCTACAGTTTAAAAGCATTTAGTTGCTTTTCAGGTTATAGAAATTCTACTATTCTCATGACAGACATATAACTTTTATATATTGCTCAAATGAGAAGAAGTGTCAGCATAGAGATTTGGTTCTTTAAATTTTGTGCTCATTAGATTTTTAAGCTTTAATGGCATTGACATTTTGTATTTGTTGTGGTTCCATGTTATACATGTTGTGACTTTATGCTTTAAACCATTAGATGAAACCTCCAAAATTTTTAGAGTTTAAGTTTTTAATGAAAATCTTCATTGAAAAAGAAGCTTAAGTTCGCTGAGATTTAATTGCATTTCAACTCTACACAGTGTTTTTAGCGATTATTCCTTCTGCTTTTATCATTATGTGCTGGCTTAGCTATTGCATAGAAAGGTAACATTTTCCTATTATTTCCATTTTTATCAAGAATAGAGAGGTCCTAAATAAGTGTTGTATTTAAATTTATTTTACTTTCCTATGGCTCGCCTATAAACAATCGAGTCCAGATGGGATGCAAAGTTCCTATGGATAGAATCCCAGTAGAGAATCTGTATGATTCTCTTACGGAGTAAATTGTGGTTCAAGTCGGTTAAAATAGATTCCTGGTGATTGCAAAGTACTTTTTGAGCTCAAACATTGGGCTATTAATTCAACATTTCTAAATGTATAGTCAAATGAACATTTATGCACTTTAAAAAAACTGCATTCACTTAAAATTTCGTGTTAAGGAACATCAATGCATATTCTATGTATTCCTAAGTAAGAAGGGGTTCCTTTAGGCCAGAGTCTGGGGAAGGACTTGTGTTTACACAGTCCTGCCCTGCTATGCCCTGCACCATGGCATTAGTGGACCACAATTACTAATAGCAGTAATCTCTCATGTGATTTTTGATGGAAACACACTGTGCCTTCTTGTCACCAACTCTGCAGAAAAGCAACAGAACAAGGATTTGGTCTCACCAACTTACCCACTCACATCAAGAGTAAAACCTATATTCATTCATTTACGTTTTAATTCAACCAGTATTCGCTTGACACCTATCCTGTGCCAGATACTGTGCCAGGTGCTGAGGATACAGCTGGTGCACCAGACATGGTCCCTGCCTTCAAGGAGCTTCAAGTCGAGTGAGGGACACAGACCAGAGACCATTACAATTCAGTGTGGTGAGTGAGGGGAAATGCCCCAGGCTCACAGCAGGGGGCGCTCCGCACCTACAGTTGAGGAGTCAGGGCTGGTGTCCTGGGGAAGGGAGATGAGGCTTTTCCATGTGAAGAGCAGGTGGTAGAGCCCACGAGTGAGCTGCTAAGGGGCAGAGGGAGGGTTCCTTAGGTGTGCCTGTTTTCACCGTCTCCTGGTCTGTTTCATACAAAGGCAGGCCTGCCCTGCACCTCCATTAAATGACAGCCCCGAGTTCCTTGCGGTAGAGGCTGTATTGTTCACTGTTGTGTTGTGTCTCCAGCACCTAGTACAATGTCTGGCATGTCATCAGTGCTCAGTAATTTTGTTTAGTGAGTCGATAATAGAAATATCCTTTTCCCTGATTCCACAGCCATCAAAACATTTCAGTATGGTTACAACATGCATCATCGGAAGAGTATCATAAACGGTTAGAATGATTATTAACGTTTTGGTATTGACACTTAAATCTGAGACATTATTTTGTGATTTTCAACTTTATGCAATGGTGACCTCATGATTCACTCAATTCTCATCCTAGAAATGACAAAATTCAATCACATAACCTAGTAAATGGGGTATACATTTGCAATGGAGCTTGCAACTCAGGCATGTTCCGTTTTTTTTTTTTTTTCAGTTTTTCTGCTAAAATTTCGTTACTCTGAAAGATATGAGTTATTTGTAGAATGGCAAAAAAAAGAGGCTTAGATAAACATCACTATGAATTATGTGATTATGAGGTTCTTGAACCTGTTTCTCAAGAACATAACCATAAATACAGGGTTTCAAAAACTAAATCAAGGACATTCAACTGGGGTGTGGTGAAGCCAGGGTTTCCAACCAAATTTCAGGGCTGGCCCTGCATTCAATATGATCATATGGTTTCTTGGATACTCTTAAAGGAGCTACCGAAGAAAACTCTCTCCTGCTCACTGACACCTAAATTCTTTTAAAACAAGACAAGGCAGTCCTAACCAGTTTGGCTCACTGGATAGAGCGTCGGCCTGTGGACTGAAGGGTCCCAAGTTCGATTCCAGTCAAGGGCATGTACCTTGGTTGTGGGCACATCCCCAGTAGGGGGTGTGCAAGAGGCAGCCGATCGATGTTTCTCTCTCATTGATGTTTCTAACTCTCTATCCCTCTCCCTTCCTCTCTGTAAAAAAATCAATTATATATATATATATATATATATATATATATATATATATATTTAAAAAAAGACAAGACAAGGCAGAGAGTAAGTTGCAAATGACATCAACTGTTTCCCTCAAGGCAGACTGGGACAGAGGAATGACAGTTCCAGAGATCCCTGGGCACCGATCAGGGAGGGAAAACAGGCCCAGAAAGGAAGACAGGGACCTGAAACCAGGAGGGCCAAGCAAGAGCCGGCCTGTTAACCGCACTTTGGGGAAGCAAATAGGTACTCCCCATCTCCTTTTTCTTTGCAGAGGATTTAAAGAAATAATCATAAAATACTGCAAAGTTTACTCTTGATCCATTAGATGGACAAACAGGAAGCTGGAGGCTCGGTAACCTGAGAGAGATTTAATAAGAATCCATTAAGACCAACTTGTTCTAAAGAGACATTTGGAAAATTTCCCCTGAAGTCCTAGAAATGGTATCAAACCTGTGTAGAAATGAAGGGACAGACTACCTGGGAGCATTTGTATCCAAGAGATTCATGAATGATTTTTCTCATTGGCGATGTAGACTAGCGATTAAGTCTTGCATTAATGAGTGTTCTTCCCCGCCCCCCCCAATTAAACTCATTGCTATGGTTAGGCATGGCTACAGTGACATGCAAATATAGTTTCATCCTATATTTGATTGGTAGAAACGATACGTATTAGAAGCTGCATCTTCAATTCCGAGACAAGAGGCACAAAACATGACACAAAACAAACATGATTTCTAAGCAATGCCGAGGAAAGCCCCTTGGCCACCAACATTGCTGAACGACATGAAATCCGGGTTTCCGTGGGAACCCACGGAGCCCTGAGGGCAGGCATCGTGTTTGGGGACAAGTGCTTACTGGCCGCTCATGCTGCAGGATCGACGACTTGCCCGGTTCGTATTCAAAAATGCTCCTGGGCTCCGAACGGAACTTCCTCGTGTCCACCTTCCTGTCCGGAGGGTCCCAGTCATGCCTGGAAAGAGCCGACAGGTTACAGGTGAACGTAATTCTCTGGGCTCCAAGCAGTCAAATCTATCCACTGGCTGCTTTCAAGGTGAATTTTTGTATAGTTTTTTAAATTTATTTATTTTTATTTTTTTTTTATTTTTATTTTTTAAACAGAGTCTCATAGGATCAAAAGCTAATCTGTCCCAAATACCACCTTTAGGTGTTGTTTTACATAAATGATTTAGAGGAAGTCACTTCTTTTATTTCATATTATGTTTTCCTCTGTTTGTTTGTTTTCTTTCTTTCATACATTGATGTCATCCTCCTGCTGCTCAAACCCTCACACAGAGGCTCAGGGGACATGCAGCCAGGGCGCTGCAGCTAAATCCTTAGGCCAGGCGCAAGGGCAGTGTGGGCATCTGTGTTTGGAATAAGCGGTGCTTCCGCTCCATCACGCGGTGTGAGTTTCCCCCCCGCTCTGACCTGCCATCCTTGACTCACAGTGACAGGAGTCATGCACACGCCACGTTGGATCTTGTTCAAGTGGCGTCATGGTTTGTGAGAAGCACCAAGGGACCTCTTGGGTTGCCCTCCATGGGAGCGAGCTGTGGGGGCGGGTGACCCGCTTTTGTGTTAACCTTGAAAAACCAGGGCCAGGCATCCACCCCATCTCCTGGGAGACCCAGGAACCAGCTCTGTCCTGATCCGATATTCTTTGGGGGCGGCCACAGCACTTCAAAAACAAAGCGTGTTAGGCGGCTGGTGCCACAGAAGGCTTCCTTCCAGAGGAAGGGGACTTGCCTGGCTTTAGATGGGGCCATGCTGAGCCCTGGGAGGGATGGCATGCTGACCCTGTCGCATGCTGGGAATAGAAATGCCTTTAAGGACAGGAGAATTAGGGCCACGCGCTGGCATTCTGGTAAATTGAGGAATAATATGCAGCAGCTTTTGAAATGTTTAAGAGATTTGCATATTTCTTAACGAGAGATTTGTTTTTACTAAACACATAGAACAAATAATACATTGAATTCTGAGTCAATTTTGGTTCTGTTTTATGGCAGAGATACCATCTATGTCTAGACAGTTATTTATCAAATTTAAGACCATTCTAAACATAAAACCCATCACAAGAAGACTGGTACAATGAGAATCTTCTCACATATGAAGTGTGTCCATTTTCGTGGTATCTTATACCCTATACAACCATCAGTTACTCTTAATGATACCAGGCGGTGTTGAATATAATAGTTTTGACATTGGTACGGTAGGCGAGTGCTTAATAGTTGGTATTAATACTGAATAATTATTATGTCCTTCTTTATTGCCGGTATAACACAAGCCATGATTTCAGTCAGAGGTGAGTTTGAACTCTTCTGTATGAGCTGAGCAAGTTGTTTCAGTTTTCTAAATCTCAGTGTCTTTCTCTCTCAAATGGGTTTAAAATAAACCTTACCTCATTGGCTTCTCAGAATTAAATGATATAATAGAGGAAAAGTACTTCGCCCAGTGCTTGGCTCATAGTATACTCTCAATAAAGATCACCTATAATTGGATTATTAGTCATAATCTTAATTCTTAAGTGATGCCATATAAGTGTGTTTACAAATTTTTATTTTTGTGAGGATAGTTTCTATAAAAACATATCTGTGGGGAAAATGAAAATTAGGATCATCTTGAAAAACTGGTGGAAATGAGTCACAGGTAGACACTTACTAACTAATGACTTATTTATGATTCATGAATAATTTTCCTGCTTTCAAAGACATATTTTTGTGTATCAGAGGGGAATTTTAAATAATTAATAGGCCTAACATTTCAAGTCTGAGGAAACTGAAAAGGAACTGCGTAGTCTCTGGGGTGCTAGGCCAAAAAGACTACGTCAATGATTTCTTCCTATTTGTCTCCTATGCATTTAAAAAAAAATTAAAAAGTAGATCTTGTGCCCATGTTATGCCAGGTCTAACTTAGGTCACTATAATATTATGAACTAACTTAGGTCACTATAATATTATAGCAAAGGTGTCTACTATAATCTCAATAGAGCGGGGAGGGGGTCAATGAGGTACATGTACAGCAGGTCCTCAGGTTATGTCGGAGATCCGTTCCTTTGGCAACGTAATGTGATTTTTTGCCGTAAGCAAAAATCATAAGCACCTACGTCGCTCACATGGTGCACACACACAGCAGTAATGAAGTCAAACAGTCAAAAATTTTTAAAAGAAAGATAGCAATTCCTGGCCTTTACTTGTGCTAAATAAATAATAAAACACATAAAGCACATATGTACATATGTCGAAATGATGGAACTTTTTTTATTATAAATAAATGGGAGATGGTGATGTAACCATGATACCACGTATGTCGAGTCCCACGTAACCCGAGGACTGCCTGTATTGGCTGAAGATTATACATATACTACCTCCACCAGTTCTTCTACTGACTGCCCCTCGGCCTTATTTCTATACGAAGCTAAATAAACGCGGGCCACCTTGGGGGGCAATGCCTTACTTCTCTGTGGAAGTCCGATCTCTGGGTCGAAGCGGTGGGACCGGAGGAGGAACTTGTGGGGGAGGGGCCGGGGGAGCCGCATCCTTAAAAGTGTCCGTGCCGTTGTCCGAGTGGCTTTTGGAGAGGGGTCGGTAGGTCTGGGTCTTCGCAGCAGGATGAGACTGAGTACTGTAGGGTGAGTTGAACAGGCCTGTGGCGAGACACAGCAGAACAAAACAAACAGGGGCCAATGCCATTTAAAAAGTGCATTAAACTCTCCGTACCCCCTAAAATAGCCAGTGATTTTGCCCACATTATCATCAATAGGCATCTCCATACTGCATGCATGGGGCAGGGTGATCATTAGCAATTAATGGATTAATCTTTATGAAGAGATTAATTTGTTATTGCTGTACTCTGTACACAAGCATTGGCGACAGTAAATCTTTGTCAATCATTTTAGAATTAGTAACCATTCAGACGAGGATGAGGCATAACTTACAGGTACTCAGCAAACTTTCTCCTGGAGGACATAAACTAACGACATAGTTAAGATTTCAGAGGAAGATTAAAAAAATGCTTCACAGAACTGTTTCCAAATATCTTCTATTGCTTTAAAGGCTCTGGTTCATATATGACAACTGACATGTTAATTGTAATGAAACACAACACCGAGAAAGATATTATGTATGTGCCCTGCAAGGCTTAAGGAAACAGAAGCCCTCAGTAAGCCTGCAGCGCATCTGGGAAATGAGACACAGATAGAACTCGGTTGGAAAATAACTGGCAACGTGGTAAAAGCCAAATGCGGAAAACATATATTAGTAATGAAGGGATTTTAGAAGATGGTGGATTGGTCTAGGATATAATGGAACCGAAAGCACCAGAATGGGCCACGAAGGACTGGTTTGGGCGGTAGGCAAAGATGGTAGCAGAGATGGATCACATAGAAACGAAAAAGAGGCAGAAAGAGCAAGACCCAGGACAGCGGGATGGAGGGCAAGTCGAAAGGAAGAGACTACAATAGTTGCAGTTGCTCTGTCTACTGATTAAACAGTAAAACTCCCTCCAAAGGCTCCGCAAGGTTATATGGAGCTATTGTTTGATCGACTAATTATTAATGGATGCAAAACATTCTGAATTTCCTGCAACCTCAGTCTTTTGAGCTAAGTCTGTTTTCACTTTTCTTCTCGAAAGTTCCATGCAAATTGCCACGACAAGTACAAAGACATGATGTCCGCACATTGTTTTTGGCCTCAATTCTACTGTCTGGGTTCAGCTTCAGAGCTTGCTATTGTAAAAACAGGCCCCCAATGGAGTTGCTTATGCAAAGATCCCACGTCACAAACTGGACTCAACTTAATTCCGGGGTAGGCCTCTCTCAGAAACTGAGCCTTAAACCAGCCGGAGACACCTGGTCACCTGGTCAGCACTAGTTAGGTCATCGGCCTGATGGACCCAGCCCTCCTCTAAGGAAGGTGACCTCAACTGACCATCCACTTTCTCGCCTGCTCCACCTTCCTTGTCCTGCTCCCTTCTGCCTGTGACGTCTTTCATGTCGTGCAGCTCTTCGGAGCTACTCTGTCTGCTAGATGGGAAGCTGCCTGACTCATGAATCATTGACCAAAGCCAATGAGATCTTCAAAATGCACTCAGTTGAAATTTTGATTTTTTAACAAGCTAAGCATGGGAGGTGAGTTCCTGTGGTGAGGAGGAAACGTCGAGGCAACATCTAGTGGACCCCTGTGAAACGTGGAATATCGGGGGCAGAAAACCAAGGGCTTGTCACCTCTATGCGTGTTCTGTTCGCTCGTTTGTTTTCTCGTTTCGTTACTTCTCCATTCGTCTTTGGAGACTAGTAGCAAAATCCCCAAGAGTTCAAGGGCCTGTGCGCTGGCTCTTAGGTGTCCAGGAGAGGGGAACCTTTGCAGCTCTGAGCCAGGCCTGCAGGGCACCCCTTGTGGGGCTACTATGCGTAAGGGGAGGACAGACCCACCTGCTGAGCCTGCTCTAAAGAAAGAACAGACCCCGGGCAGCGGTCTGGAGCCCGCGGCTGAGCAGGGACAGGAGGGCCTGTGTGGGATTCCCTGACAAAAGTCACGTCAGGAAACAGTTTCTAGGGGTTCCCTCACGTGAGCCTGCAACCACTTCACAAGATGCCTCCACACCCAAGCGCAAGCAGAAAAGCCCGGGATGGAAGTTGCTCATTATGACCTGGGCAACTCTGAGTCAGAAGAGTGGCCGGTAAAGTGGGATTTTAAACAAGCCTTCCATGAATGGGTGCCTTTTGGAGCAAAGGCCTGGGCAAGGTCACAGAACACTGTGCCGGACTTGTTTGCCGTGAAGAGTATCTGAGAGATCTTACGCAACGGCGCTCCCTCTCTGCTCTGATAAAAGGGGATCTTTATCTCATTTTGTGCCCGTTACAGTGTGTTCTTTCAGGCCGGCCTTCACAGCGGAGTTACACATTCCTGAGGCTGAGCATCAGCTAACACGGGAATGAAGGCTCTACAACAGTGTTAGTTCTCCTTTCCAGGAGAAGAGATCGATCCTTTTGTTAGGCATGCTGTGAGGAAAAAAGGGGGTGAGAGCAGCCTCCTCATTGTGCAGAAGGGAAACATGCACCCGCAGCGGTAAAAAGTGAGGCTGAAGTTTTTCCAAGCGTGGCAAGCACTGAAAAATCCTCATTGCAAGCCGGGAAAGCCGTCCTACCTGCGTTATATGTATAAGGAGTATTGTACATGTCTGTGTCATCATCTAGAAAACGAAACATACACGATGGTAATGCAGATTGTGTCACCATACCACAGCTAGACAGCAGAACTTCACAGAAACAGCAGACATTTGTTAGAAACCGGTGTACTTTGCCTAGCTCAAAATACTATAATTTTTCCCCCCCTCTAAATGCTGTTTTTGAAACAGCCTGTAACCCATTTGCTCTTTAGGTGTCCAAGGTCAGTACCTTTGCCTCATTTCCCAGCCTTCTCTTCTGGGGCCTGACTTCTCTTTAGAAAGAGCTTTAAATATCTCTGTCAACTCAGCGAGACCTCCCTATGCTCAGTCTCTGGATAGGGAGCAGCCACGTGGACAGAGGACTAATGAGTCTGTCTAAGTGGACAACAGGCTACACTGGTTCAGACAAAGAAGGACGAAGGGAAGAGACCAGAGCAGCTGGTGCCTCGTCAAGGGCACCACCTAAGAGGCTTGTTGGCAGGTGAGGGGTGAGGCAGGACACAGGATCTGGGGTTTGAAGGGGTGATAGAAGGAGGCATGGTCACAAGAACCAATGGAGGCCAGGAAGCTTGTTAAGGTCTTGACGTTTGGGGTGAACCAACTGTGTAAACGGGGAAGACACATACACATCCTTCAGCCCACAAGGACCCGATGGGGACATGGAGCAACGTGCATACCAGGCTTGTGCACCATGTGGATTTGCTTGAACATCGTCTTGTACCAGTCCTTCGGTCTGTCAACTGTCTATAAAAGAGAAGGTCCAACAGTTACAAAACTGCTTCCAGATCTTTTATTTAAATAACAAATTTATGTTCTCTGGTTTATAAAAATCTATCTCATAATGACAAAACCAGTCATTTACCCAATTATGCGTGCAGTGTGTGAATACATTACCTCTTGTGTGAGTTTAGGCTGAATTAGAGCATTATACGTGCTATGGTTTTTTTATTTTATTTTATCCAGCACTTCACAGTTAATGTTTGCACAAACATCTATAATAATAAAAGTGCAATATGCTAATTAAACTGGACATCTTTCCGGACGACCTTCCGACGACCTTCCAGACAAAGCCAGGGCTGCGAGGGAAGCCCGGGTCTTGGGTGCCAGAGGAAAGCCAATGCTGGCAGCGGGGGGAAGGAAGGCCTATTTTTGCATGATTTTTGTGCATTGGGCCTCTTGTATTTATATAAAAGTCACTGAATAAGAGGTATAGGGTATCACAGTGTCCTTCACTCCTTTTGGAGATAATTATCATTATCCTTAAAAACCTTTTTAGTGAGTGTTCTGTTTAAGACATTATTTTTATGAGGAAAAAAAGGGCGGGAAAACAGCCACCTCACTGTATAGACTGAAAACATGTGCCCACAGCGATAAAAAATGAGGCTAAATATTCCTTAACAAAGGAATATTTTTTACTCCAATTGCATTCTGGTCAACTTAGGTTCAGAGAAAGAAAAACTGAATATTTTCTACTCGAAGTTACTAAAGTACCAAGTGTAGAGACACAATCCAGAATCTGAGAGCAATTCTAAAAATGGAGATGTTGTTTCAAAAATGTTTTTAACCTGGTAATAAAACATTTATAACATTTGCTTTGCTAAATGGTAAATTCCTTGAGCATAGAAGTGCCCCCATCTGCAGCCCAGGCTTTTGAGGTGATAGAAGTGAGAAGATAGTTAATGTCAGATCAACCTAGATGCATATCTCAGGTCCTGAAATTGCTGTTTCCTACCAATATGAATTTGGATAAGTTAGGTAACCTTTGAGAGCCTCATTTTCTCCTTTTGAAAATGAAATAATTATATCCACATCATAGGATTGTTATGGAAATTGAATGAGATGATGTACACAGGAAGGTCTAGAACAATGCCTACAATATAAGAAATGCTCAATAAAGCACTATAGGGAACACCAAATACTTATAGAATAAAATAATGAATGAATCCAGATTATTACATGGAACATGATCATATTGTGTACTTCTGAAAGTAGACAGACACCTTTATAATCCTAATTAAAGATTTTTCTTGGCAAGATCTTTATCTCAACTTTTTTCAGAGCTACTTGGGCAAGAGACTCAACCATTGTGTGTACAGTGACTAAATATACCAGACTTTCTGAGACAATTCCCTTGATATCAAATATTCCGTTAGGACTGCCACAAAAAATATTCTTATACTGGTTAGACTCAGCTTTGGTTTCAATTTGATAGCCTCATTTTTCTCTCAGAATGTGGTCACTGCATTTTTTCATCTGGACATTGAATTTTGTACTGTATCCAATTTTATTTTGGTGTCTAGGAATATATGAGTCTGTAATTACCACAAGTATAGACGAACTTTAAGGGCTCCTTGACTTTGTGGCGAATCACCTCTTTATTCATTCTACGCTCTTTTCAGGATGGAAAAATTGAGGGGATTGTTGATGGACTTTATGTTTAAATGGTGGTATATGGTGGGATGAGGTGCAGTGATGAAATCCAGCTATTATTTGCTGGTTTAAACGAAGTAACTGATCAATATATATGTTTTATTGATTTTCCACAGAGAGGAAGAGAGAGAGATAGAGAGTTAGAAACATCGATGAGAGAGAATCATCAATCAGCTGCTTCTTACACACCTCCTACTAGGGGTGTGCCCACAACCAAGGCACACGCCCTCAACCAGAATCAAACCCGGACCCCTCAGTCCACAGGCCAATGCCCCATCCACTGAGCCAAACCGGTTTTGGCTGATCACATGTTTTTAAGGGTCATAAAAGATCGAATTCTTTCATTAAGCTTTATTTCCTTTACAGTATTCAGCAACAGAAAAGAAGACAGAAATGTTTTCCAGCCCTACCTGGACCCAGCAGATGGCAACAAGGACGCCTCATAAGTAAGTCATAGCCCTGGATATGGCAACGCTCCTGACAGACAGGCCTTTTCCTGCCTGGCTGGAGGGCACGTATTGGGCAGGAGCTCGGTCCTGCCATCTGCGAGCTTTATATGGTGAGCGTGGAGATGCCAGGCATGCCCAGCCAGTTGGCAAAGGGGAATGTGAAACTGGTCACACAAAAACTCTGTGTCCCTTTCTAAAAGGAGTCCTCTAAGCAGTTCAAGTTGGTCTCATAAATGCCATGGTGGAGGCTGTTATGGCTAATCCTGAGGCTGAGTAAACAGTGGTCTCCTCAGCGGGGAGGATGTTTACCTTTGTAGGGGTCCTTCACAATTACTTTGCATGGACACTAACCACTGGACATCCACTACTCAGTGTTTTCTGTAACCTCGGCTGAGCACACCTGGCTGTGCGCATTCCTATAGTTTATACAGACGATCAGAACTCTACCCTGATTAACACGCAGGGATTTCCAACAAGAGGAAATTCTCTACACACCAGTGTGCCGTTATTCTAGTTCTGTGGTCGGCAAACTGCGGCTCTCGAGCCACATGAGCGCTTTGGCCCCTTGAGTGTGGCTCTTCCACAAAATGTGACGGCCTGGGCGAGACTGTTTTAAAGAAGTGGCATTCGAAGAAATTTAAGTTTAAAAAATTTGGCTCTCAAAAGAAATTTCAATCGTTGTACTGCTATTTGGCGCTATTGACTAATGAGTTTGCTGACCATTGCTCTAGTCGGTGTTTGCGCCTCTCCACTCTGAAAATGCTCCAGTGGCCCTAGCCGGTTTGGTTCAGTGGCTAGGGTGTCGGTCTGCTTACCGAAGGGTCCCAGGTTTGATTTTGGCCAAGGGCATGTACCTCCGTTGCAGGATCCTCCCTAGTCTGGGCCCTGGCTGGGGCTCGTGCAGAAGGCAACCAACTGATGTGCTTCCCTCACATCACCATTTCTCTCTATCCATCTTTCCCTCTCTCTTCTACTCTCTCTAAAAATCAGTGGGAAAATAGCCTCAGGTGAGAGTTAAAAAAAAAAAGATGAAAAAAAAAGAAAGAAAATGCTCAAAGCGGTGCTGTATTTGAAGGGGAAGAAAGAAGGCTTGTATTTCACTTAACTAGCTGGCCGCAATTAGACAGTCCCGGGAGCCCTGGACCCTGGTGGGTTCTGTTGTTGTTGCTAAGAATGGCGGTAAAAGGCTAAGACAGAGGGCCTGGGTCACATGAGAGAGGGCAGCCGGGGGAGCCACTTCCCTTCGTTCAAGTAACTCAAAGGTCTGTTTGTTGACTCCTGGCTTTCTAGAGTTTCTGGGTTACTTTGCACAATTCTGGTTCCTGGGGCCGTGCCGGTTTCTAGGATGAGACTACCACACGATACAGGGGGCGGCACTGCCTCTGGTGTATGCATTCGCTCAGCAACAGGTCCATGTGGAGCAACCCGGTCTGCTAACCATTACTGTCTGCATGGAGGAGAAGGAAAAACAGCCCTGGATTCTTGGCCTGCAGAGGCTCAGCGAGGACCTGACTCGGCATTTATAAACACGGCTATACTTGGGGATGTGCTGGGCCAGGCTGGGAAATAGGAAGTAGACCTACACCTTCTTTGTAAAGTTCTAACTGGCCAAATAAGAGCACAGCTGTACACAGAAACTGTATTTTATCTTCGGCTTTATGGATTGAAAGCTGGCATTGAGAATGGTATATGTGTTAACGGATGCATGTCTAGACGTGCTCATGAGTCAGCAATATATAAATAATATTAAATTTTAATATTACTCCATTTTCACCATTCACCACAACTCAGTTTTTTCCTTTTAGAAACCAACAAGCAAGACCTTGCTATTTAAGAAAATTACATCTTATGGGTTAAAAACAAAAGGTCAGGCTTTGCGTGTTCATTTCTATATATCATTTGTTGACTTAAAAACACACCCAGAGATAAAATTTTCCCGAGAAAATCTATAACTATATAGAACCAGGGATCTCTGAATTTGTGTATATAATATATTGTGCCTTGTGGATCAATTAAACAGAACCAATGACAGCATACCTGTCTGACACGATATCCCCACATTATTAGGAAAAAAATTTTAAGCGTAACCATTCTGAGTCAGAAATCTTGAAAGGGAAACCATCAACAAAACACTGTCGCCAGAAACACGTAGTCATCCTAAGATTAAGAATGTTAGTCATGATCCCTGAACCGTTTCTGTCCCTTAAACATGACAATCACCAGTCCCGACATAGATTTTTAGGACTTTAAAATTAGTCACATCCAGTGTTCTCAGAATCTCACAAGTATAAAACCTACGGCCCCTGCTATCCAGGTTTACTTATTTGGCTTTCAATTCTAGTACGGATGCTTGGAATGGTTAATTTTCAACTCTTCTCTCTATACACAGAACTCGCAATCCCCACATAATACATACAGATTCAAGGACAGAAGAAAACCCCCATGCATGGTCCTTTGCCCAGCTGGAGGGTTTCCGACCGGACCACTGCTTTTTTCCGATCCCTCTCCCCTTCTTCTCCTCTCCCCTCTATTGTCTCCGCATCCTCTCGCCCCCAGGGCTGTATTCCCAGAAACCAGTTCCTGGCCACATCCTGGCCAGGTATTTGGGTGCTGCAGACACATGTAGGCAGCCTAAGATCCCCTCTCTGGAACCGCCCCCCAACATCACCTGCAAACGCGCTGCCGTTCTCATCCTGGCGGCTCCCGAGTCCTCCGGGCCGGCCGGTAGCACAGACCTGGTCTTCAGGGGACTGGCTCAGCTGGCGGCTGCCTGCTGGCTCTCGGAGCCGCTGCTACTGCTGAGCTTTGCCAGAAGGGGCTGCCCCACGCACTGAGCAATGCCCTGGCAGCGTTTAGAGACTAAAAAAAAACCCTTCAGACACTCTCACTCAGCATCCCCGAGAGCTCCCGGCAGGCCCAGCAGAAGAGGGAGCGCTCTCCAATGTGTATTCTCCTGCTTGTTTCTCTCCGTGACATTCACTCCCTTCACTCCAACCACCTCGCCTCCCAGCCCCCAGCTCCCAGCTCCCAGGGTGGCTCACACACCTCCCTTTCAAGGAAGGAACCACTGGGTTGTCTGCAAGGCACGTGGGAATTCAACGCAGCCAAGAAGTCACGTTTCCCTTCCCTTTCCTGCCCATCGCCCTACCACTCCTCGGTAGGAGGTAAAACAGGCTTTTGTCTTTTGACAAAATCGCAAGTTTCATGACTTTTCACTCAAACGGAGACACAGATTGTGTGATTAGCTCCCGTGGACAGTCCTCTCTCTGCCACACACAGGGCAACACGCATGAGAACGGCAGTGCTGATGAGCTCAGACAAGGGGTGCCCAGAGCCGCCGGTCCGGCCTACCGTTCTGATGGCCGTGGGGATGCCAGACTCATCCACAGGCCCGATCCCCGGGTAGTGCGGGGCTTTGATGACCGTCACCCTCTTCTCCTCCTCCGAGGACCTGTACAGCGGGATGGAGCTGCCCACCGTGCCGTCCAGAGACTGCGCGTGCTGGGCATACGCCTCTGTGGAATCTGGGGAGAGAAGGTGGCGACATATAATGCACCATAAACTGATGGTACCTTGAGCACAGTTATGCCAAACGTGGCACAGTCTCTATTCCCATCACTATCTCTCTGAACCCAGTTACCTTACATTTGAGCCTCTGGTTGTTAACAGGGAGGTGCATATGGGACACACCTATAACAAGACCCTCCCGTTTTATGAAGCAGGTGAGGGGAACAACAGCCTTGGTGAGGGACCCTGTGATCTGTGGCAGCCACTGTACCAAAGCACTGTGCCCGCACTGCCTCTTCTCATTTTCCCAGGAATCCGGGGGTGGGGAGTGGGAGGGTAGGAGCTGGAACAAGTCGAGTCCCAACTCATAGTTAACATTACTGTTCCTTTTGTGAAACTGCTCGCTATTTAAAAGCACTGAGATGTGCTCTTGGGACAAAAGATATGACTGTGGAGTCTTCAACAGTGGTTTCATAAAAATAAAGTGAAGACGAAAATCACATGGAAACAACTTCGTATCCAAACATATACTTGGCGTATAGGTAAATACTAAATGACTTTGAATTATTAGTATTCATTTTTATTAAGTAGCCAAGATGGCCACAATGTCTTTGCTTTTAGTTTAAAGGAACAAAAGCCATGACTTCTGGCCCCTGGAGGATACAAATTGCCCTAAGCAGTTACATCAGATGGGACTTATCCTGTCCCTATCCGCAAGCCATGGTTATTAACTTTTGCTATACTTTCACAAGAAAGGAGGGGACTTAATGTACTATATGTTTCACTTACTCTTAGTTCAGAGATATTTGTGAAAATCAACATTATTACCATTCATCTGGTGCAACTGATAATACAATTTCCTCTTTTTCTTTTTTTTTATTGCGCCCCCCCCCCCCCTTTAATAAAAAATTTCAAAATTTTGGAGACCAAGAATGACTCTTTGTCACAGTTGGTCAGATCTGTCACTCAGAAAGGTCTCTTTTATATGGATAACCTAATGTTTTAGGTTAGCAATGATATACTTACTGTGCATTGGTAGAAAACTTATACAAATCTTCATAAATAAGACTTAAAAATTTAACTCATCATTATAAGGATAAGAAGATATCAACTAAAATCCATTGTAATATTTATAACTGCTATTCCTATTAGGACTATTTTCTATTTAATTTGCAACCGAAAAGCATTTTCAATCTATAAAAGTCATATTTTCCAGCCATCTCCAAAGTAAGACACAATGTGATATTTGACTCAGATTTCCCATTTAATTTTAAAAAGGACTTGACTGGGCAGCCATGATCTAGTATTTCTGTAAAACAAACAAACTTTTTGAGCACCTCGCATATGCAAAATTCCAGCCTAGGCAAACAGTATTAACTCTGTCTTCATTTATGGTTCATGATATTCTATGGACTTATATAATACAAGTTGACCTTTTATTTTATTATGCTCTTATATGCTCCACTAACTCTCATTATTGCAGTTTTTGTCCTAAACTAAATATCAAATTTCTCTAGGGCAGGATGGGTTTGTACATTCTCCTCAGACCCTATCTCAGCGTTGGCCAACTGGAATTAGTTCAATGTTTATATAGAGAATTTCTTTCCATGTTTATAGTTTATATGTAAAGTCTACCCAATGGTACGCTCTGATATAAAACCTTGTTTACATTTCAAGTATTTATATGTATTGTTTGTTGAGGTGAAGGGAGAAAAATCATATTCATTAAGGCAAGCAATGGGAGTGAAAGCGTCAGACTTTGACAATAATTATTTGGGAAAATATTACAGCTAGAATCATTTGCAGAGTTTTACTGCAGACATGTCATAATGCATAGCTCTGTAAAAAAAAAAATCTAGATATAATGGGCTCCTACTGTAATACTAAACCAGTGACTAATTAAGGGCAACATTCTGGCACAAGGGCGTTCTGCTTTCTTATACTCTAAAAGGCCATCGTTATAAGAGTCACCAATCATTCCAGGAGCTGCATTAGAAAAGGCACAAGCATCATTAGACTTTCCTTAGATGAGTCTCCTGGCTTCCTGGGAGCTGTCGAGGTTGTGTGGACACAGAAGCTGAGTCCACGGTGCACGTGGCGAATGTTCTTGGGTAAACTAAGGCACTGTGTCCTTTCCGTACACAACAGTGCTGGGGAAACAAGGGTGCTGCTGCCACCAAGGAGGAAATGGGAGTTAGAGCCCTCTGCTCCTCTTCCTTGCTCCCTGTAGTTGGTTGGTGGCCGGAGGGTAGGCCCCTCCTACTTTGCTGAGAGCTGGGCTGCGATCACATGGTCCTCTGCCTTCCTCTCTGCTTCCGGCTGCCCTGGAGGCCTGGTTCAGCGTCATGACACCTCTGTCAGCTTCACTTCATATGACGCTCTGACTCAGTCTGTGTTGGTTTTATATTTTGGTAGCATTCTCACTTATGTGTTTACATTCCCGCAAACTAGGAAAATGGATGACCTTATCTTCTAAGCTGTGGTAATATATTTTGCCACATAAACATGCTTCCATCTATAGAGAGCAGTTTCTTCTCCAGCAACCTTCAAGGAGTTCTTAAGCCCCGTGAAATTATGCGCTGGAAAGTTTTTTTTTTTTTTTTTTTTTTTTTTTTAATAAATGTTCAAGTGTTCATTTTGTATCTGGAGGAAAGCTCTCTCTTTCGCTAATTCTTAATTCCCAAAAGGCTAAGAGCTACGTCTTGATGAAATCCTGGCCCCATCCTTCAAAGGGACTCCCATCCCTGACGGATGGTCTTCTGGCCTCAGTTGGCGTAGTTTACCGCTTAGGGAGGCAGTAGATCAGCGTGTACTATGGTGTGAGGCAGCCTGTTCCCGTCAGTCCGCTTCAACCCTGAACCAGGCCTTCTTTACAGACACCAAAAGAACTTTCTACAATGACAGTTTTCCCACGAAAGAACAGGGCGCCTTCACGTGGATGGCATTGACCATTTATGGAAATGCACCCTGGGAATGTTCTCCTGGGGATGTGCGCTCTCCCCTCCCCCACAGCCCATCCTTTTCTTTCTGGCCCCCCACACCCCAAATATCGAATCAGCTTCCCCCGAGGAAGGCACAGAGGCAGTCGCTGCCTTGGAACGGCTGGGTGCCTGCTTCTGCCGAGGCCGAGTTCACGCGGTCCCTAGTGCCTCCCAGGAGAGGGTCTCTAATCGTGAACTGATGGACATGTCTGCCTCCTTTCTAAAAGCTGCTCCGATGCTTTGTGTTTTTCTCATGTGGTTTGTGCTCATGCTTGTGAAATTGTCACGAAAATCACGATGATCCAGCGACTTACCCAGTGACCGGCCGTGCGGCATGATGATGCTGGAGTTGAGGGAGCCGGGCAGGGAGTAGGCCGAGGGGGAGAAGGGCCGCTGGTAGTAGCTCATGGGACTCACAGCACCTCCCGAGTTCCCATTCACTGTGATCTGGCTCTGAGGAAAGGGCGGAGATCCCGTTAAAGCATCGCTCCTTTGTGATGAGAGACTTCATTCAAATGCCAGGCATCCGCTGTCCAGTTTATTTACTCTGGACACTGATGTCTAGAGGGGCAGGGGACACATTTTCAGTGTCTTCTCACTCTTCCTTTATTTCTGAAGTCACTCTCTTATCTGCCAGAGGGCACTGGGGGTGGTTAGAACGCAGCTGACAGGTGGGCATGCGGCTCTGCCAGCAGAGATGCCAAAGGCACCAGTAGGAGTCAGTATAACGTAAGCCTGGAGGGCAAGTTTGCTCTTACTGTGGAGTTAAATGGTCAGAGCACGTCACACTGCTCTGCATGGAGATTTGAAGTGAATGCTCTTTGACATGACGAAAGGGATTGGTTCTCAGACTTAGTCAGAGATACCCTCCAAGGAACCAGTGTTTCCAGGGCAAAATGATTATTAATATAAAGGACACAATTGTTTGGATTTATGCATCATAAGTCAATCTATTCCAGAAGAATCAAACACCTGGTAAAAGACATGCTAACTGCTGGCTTCTCCCTCCTCCGTTCTAAGTTAGCACTTTATGGGCCTCTGCTTGGTTTTCTTAATAAATTATTGTTTTGATTGCTTTATACCTGAGTATTTTAATCCCAAAGATATTTCAAGCTTCTTGTCGGAAGTGGTCATACACATGCTTCTTTTAAACATGTCTTTTCTAACATGCATCCTGATGCTAAGGGCATAGGAGATAGTCAACAGGGACGTATTCTAATTGAATTAAATCAGCTGAGTTCACAGAGGCGGAGCTCAACGCTATGAAACATGCCTCTCTGACCACACACACTGGGGAGGTTACATATGCATGCCAACGATACAGAACATTGGTAAGAGCATGGAGTTAAAATGGCCTTACAGCCGAGCATGCCAAACACACATACGCACATAGATACACGGAATTTGTGAACTTTTTCTACTTAGTTTAACGCAAAATAAATAATTCTACAGGCCTGACACACAGATGCAGTTAGTTGCTTATTTTCATGATTTTTCTACTTGAAAGCAGATGTTTTCAAATGACCTAGAACAGACCTAATTTCAGGACTTGATAGCACTGCCACATCTGCCCGAACGTCAAACATGTCCTTACAGAAGGTGCTTTCCTAAGTTGTTGTGGAAATCACCCTGACATCCTCAGTGCCTGTGTCTTGAGGATCTTCTATCCGAAGGGCAGTGGGCATGCAAGTAAGTGCGAGGCACTGGCTTCAGAGGCATCCCAGAGCTTCAAGATTTTTTGTTTTGTTTTGTTTTTGTTTTTTTTAACCTTGGATGAATTATTTGAGAATATTTTTCCTTCCTGCCCAAATCAAGTTTGGTTGATCTTTATAAATATAACTTTAAAACTGTTGTTATAATCCATGTTAAAAACAGAAACATTTTTATTTAAAACTGTCATGGTACTATCTTACTAAACTTAAAAAAAAAGTCACCCTAAATCCTATTTTGTCTATGACAGTGCTTATTTAAAACTTCATTACAAAATCAATTTTTCAGAAAAAAATTCCTATTTTTTTGCCTAAAATTATATGCCTTTCAAGTTGAAGTCATTATCCACACATTATATGCAACTAAAAATCTGTGTCATAAAATTTTAAAGCACTTTAACCATTCATAAATCATTTAGTAGAGAATACTTGTCACAGAGACATTGAAATGATAGAATATACATGGGAAATATGTATTGCTCTAAATGGAAGATAAATTACTGATATGTGAAACAACATAAATATTCATAAAATTCTATTCCTGGAATGGCTCAGGAAAAAAAATTTCAAAAATATGACAGGGCCCAATCTCTGCAGGGTAGGTGAGGATCACTGACATCATTCAGTCCTGAAAGGCAGTTTGGGTGGAGAAGATGAAGGTGTTAGTGGGGGGGAGCCAGAGGCATTAGCACAATGTATAATAGTCAGTAACCGTGAAGGCGAGAAAGAAGGACATATATTACTCACATGAATCTCCCAGTTAAACCGTTATCTGCCATGATCTAATACTGGGTTAACGTTTCTGGAAAATGTTAGTTTCTCTATAATCCAGTCACCATAGTACTGTGTGTGTGCCTATCTATTGATACATCTCTGAGATGACTTCTTAAGGCAAATCACTGTCCAACTCATTCACTAGAGCAACCCGTGTGAACCAGAAGCACTCTAACATGAATGAAGGGAATGTAACTGATGGTTCGGCCCACAGTAGGTTTCTGAGAATGGAAACATACTGTCATGGATTTCCTGGTAGACTACTTAGAATCAGTTTACCCGTAATCAACACCTGTGGGAATTAAATGCTCCGCAGCAAAGGAGATGGCAGACAAGAACTCAGCCCTCTGGCCTTTGGAGACCTGTTTGAAGATGATGGGGCCAGAGGGAAGAAGCAGAGTTCCATGCCTGGCAGCGGGGCCACTACGGAGAGGTGTGAGAGTCAGCTGTCTGGGGTTCCTCTGGGATGGCTAGGAACACTCCCTGCATTGGGAGGAGTCTCTGGTTGGAGTCCACGGTGCTGCCTGGGGAAGGTGGTCAGGAGCAAAGCAAGGAGAGGTGTTTATGTCAACAGAAGTCTGTGCAGGTGTGAAGGCCCCAAGTCAGCAAGTGGAGGCAGGGCACGGGGTGCTGGCCTGAGGCCTGGCTTTGGTCTGAGTATTTCGGATAAAAGGTGGCATGGCCGAAACCGGTTTGGCTTAGCGGTAGAGTGTCAGTCTGCGGACTGAAAGGTCCCAGGTTAGATTCCGGTCAAGGGCATGTACATTGGTTGCGGGCACATCCCCGGTAGGGGGTGTGCAAGAGGCAGCTGATCGATATTTCTCTTCATTGACGTTTCTAGCTCTCTATCTCTCTCCCTTCATCTCTGTGAAAAATCAATAAAATATATTAAAAAAAAAAAAAAAGGTGGCATGGAAGGAGTGATGGGGAGAGCCTGTGGTGTGGTAGGTCTGTGTGTCTGTGAAGCATTTACCTCCAGCACACTGGCAGTTAAGTTCTGGTTTCCAAGCTGAGTTTCAGGAAGAAACAATAAGAGGAGATATAAATGATCCAATTAAGAAAACACCTATTTGTTACGTGGAGAGAAGGCAAATCGTGGGTTTTATTTGCAAGCACTTGAAGGAAATGCATTCAGAGGATTAGGTGTCCACCACACAGCAGAGAGAAAGCATGAGAGCACAGCCCTGCATGGTCTTTTTGGGTGGGAGCTTGAGAGTGTCGGCATAGTGGAATTTTTTCCTCAAACGTTTTAGATTTTGTACTTGTGACAGTAAAATGCCTTCATCTCGTCTATTGATCAAAAGAATTACTTTTCCCTTCACTAGAGAAATCTTTGTATTATACCCACTGCCCCCAGCCCCATCCTGGGAAATGTCCCCCAAATATAAATCAGTTTGTTTACTATTTTATGATTGAAGATATACGTAAGGACTGATCAAACTAAAAAAAAAAAACAATTAAAAGGAAAGGGAATTTTGTCTACTTTTCCACTCACTGAATCTCTTTCCTGATTTCATTAGGAAATACTAAAAGAATTAAACATTGAAATGTCCTACCATGCAAACAGTGGTAGCCAGGAGTGACCGTGACATGAAAGAGAAAACCAGCCACTGATGATGGTTAGAATAGAGCCTAGTTCGTTAGAAGAACTACTGTTGGTTTACCTACCAAGACATAATAGGTAAAGGAGAAAGAAACTGAAGGAGAAAGAAAAAGTTTAATTCCCAAAAAGGCTATGACTCAGAAGGTTCGACATAGTGGAGGGTTTTGTTAAAGGAAGGGTGGGGTGGGCACATTAAAGGTCTGGAGCTCTTTGGTCACAAATATGTAATCCTATATAATAAAAGACTAATATGCAAATAGACCAAACAGTGGAACTACTGAACAACCGGTCACCATGTCATGCGCTGACCACCAGGGGGGTGCACACAGAACATGGTGGGCATCAGCCAAGGTGGGATGGTGGAGCAGGTGAGTGGGGGGCACCAGACCAAGGCAGGGTGCCAGTCACTGTTATTGAGGCGAGCCTCTGGTAGTTACTGAAAATTCTTTGCTTCTGCATGCTGTAGGTCTGCCCAGTGCTTGCAGCTGCTGCCAGCACTATCTCTATTTGCAGCCGCAGCTGGTGCCGGAGCTGCTGCTCACACCCGCTGCCAGCACCTGGCGCTGGTCCCAGTTGTCCTTGAGGGCTTCTCCACCTTCCCCTGCTCCTGAGGGGTGATTGGGGCAGCAGCTGTTGCTTGCACCCACTGCTGGTGCTGGCCCCAATCACTCTGCACTGTCAGCGGGTGTGAGCAGAGGCCAGTGCTGTAGGCATATGGGAGCAGCAGTGGTGGAGTGGGGCTGTTGGCAGACAGGGATCAGGGGCTGTGGTGGGAGGGGGCACAGAGGTTGAGCCAAGACCTGCCCCTGTGCCCACAGCAGCCTCTCGGTCCACAGTGCCTTTCAAGGTGCATGACTTTGTGCACTGGGCCCCTAGGATAATGACAAGCATCAACCTTAACATGAGTGAATGAAACTCTGAAGGTATAAAGACACTTCCCCTCCCTTCCCCCCGACACACACACCTTCAGAATAGAGGGTCTTATTGTTGTTGTTCGGTATGGTGCCAGTGGTAAGGTAGATAGCCAAAAGTACTACAGAATATTAATACAATTAAAAGGAGAAATCTCATGGGTTCATGCACAGGGCTACTAGTATACATATAAAAGCCTAAGCAACTGGCCGACAGGCCTACTGGCTGACTGTCCAGTAGCTATGATGCACACTGACCATCAGGGGCCAGACACTCAGTGCAGGAGAGAAAACCACAAGCATGGAATCATGGAACAGACTGATAAATCTCAGAGGAAAGAGGGGAGAGAGGAGGGTGGGAAGACATTAACCAAAGATCTTATATGCATAGTAGAGGCCCAGTGCACAGATTCATGCACCAGTGTGGTCCTTCGGCCTGGCGTGCTGGGATCAGGCTGAAATTGGCTCTCCGATATTCCCCAAGGGGTCCCAGATTGCAAGAGGGTGCAAGCCAGGCAGCGGGATCCCACCAGTGCACAGGGCCTTGAGTAATATTATAATACAATAATATTTTCAAAATCTGTATTTTCCTGATCTCATTTTCAATTGAGAGAATAGCCATAGTTGATAATTCACCATGACCGGTGATGATGTTACATGATTTTTAACTAGTTTAAAATGAAGTAAACAATAATAAATTTAATTTTGGTATAAATAAAATGTTTAAACTTAAAATAATGTTCAGTTTTAATGTACTTAATTTTCTACTTTTTAATATTTTTAAAACTACTGAAATGTTCTAGAAAAAAATTAACATATATATGGGGACATGTTTTTCTTTCTGTCTCTGGTTCCAATTGGCTTACTATGCCACTGTGCTCAGTAGTCTTAACACTCCCCTTCTAACCTCTGTAATGGCTAAGCTTCTAGGTCTCACTTCTCAAGGAACACACAGAATATGTTAAACACCCAGAAAAGGGAATCGATGGATTTTGTTCTCCTTTTCAATGCAGTTGACAGTAATGAACTTAAGAAAATACCTAGCCCAGACATGGTGGCTCAGTGGTTAAGTGTCAATCAATGAACCAGGAGGTCACAGTTCGATTCCCAGTAAGGACAAATGCCCGGGTTTTAGACTTGATCCCTAGTTTGGGTTGTGCAGGTGGAAGGCGATCAATGCTTTGCTCTCATCACTGATGTTTCTATCTCATCTCCTTTTCTCTCTCTGAAATCAATAAAAATGAATTTAAAAAAAGAAAATACCGAGGGAGGAGTCTTACAAAAATCTTTATACTAAGAAATTATTTGTATTGTATTAGTTGTCACAATGGTATTTTGCTTTATTTTTTCTCTTCACCTATTAGATATAGGTACTAACATTTTTACAAACTTAAGGATCTTATACTGACTTTACTACCAGGATCATTAGAGTTGACAGTTGAAAACAAATTAAATAATAAAAATTGCTGGTGCCTTGTGAGGGGTACTTATAATGATAGAATTATCTATATCATTGTTAAGATTTAAAGTTTCCGTGGTAATTTAAAAATAAATGATTTATGCATTTTTGTGAAAGAAAATCTTTCCCTCCTACCCATCTCCTTCTGTGATAATGGACATCCTCTCTGACAGCCTTCTTCGGGGACAGGAAAGAAACATCCAGCAGACACTTGTATACTTAGACTGCTCTATTTCACAGGCCACAGCTATTGGTCAGGAGCGGGAATAACTGAACTAACCTGGGCCAGGGAGGCACTGCCTCCTTCTTGGGATTGAATTACATTGAGTGGCCAGATTATGATGATCTCTGAACGCATAATAGTATGGCCACTCAGTATATATATTAGAGGCCTGGTGCATGAATTCGTGCATGGGTGGGATCTGGCCAGTCTGGCTAGTGGGAGGCGACATGGATAGTTGGCTGGCCTGCCTGCTGGTCGAACTCCTGGTCAAAGGACAATTTGGATATTATCTTTTATTATATAGGATATACACTGAGTGGCCAGATTATTATGCGTTCAGAGACCATCATAATCTGGCCACTCTGTATATGTACTGAATGCCCCAGTTGGGGAGTTTTGTGCCCCAGAACTATAGATGCAAGTTGACACAGAGCATGTTCATGGACATTCACAGGCAACTTGAAGTAATAGGAGAGCAGAGGCTGAGAGATGAGAACGAGGTCAACTCAGAAAGAGGAGAGACAATGGGAACTACGTGACATGTCAGGTGGAGAGAGAGTAGCTAATGTTCTCCAGTTCCCCTAAGACCTGGTGGTACCACCTGCCTTTCATGATTCAAGACTGCACTATAACCTCATAATAAAAACTGTTTTTACAGAAGTCTTAATAGCCTTATATTATAGTTTCTGCCCAAGACCTGGGTGACAAGTGGCCTAAAATGGTCAAACAGATTTGACACATTGAGGGGGTGTGGCATCTAAATGAGGGGAGGAAATAGTTAAGAGATTTTGTGCATGTGAATCAAGAAAATTTTGGTGCTAAAAGATCTGGCACGAAACACATTTCTTTAACACTTAAAAGTACTTGGAGTGCCCTAGCTAGTTTGGCTCAGTGGATAAAGCATTGGCCTGTGGACTGAAGGGTCCCAGGTTTGATTCCAGCCAAGGTCACATGCCCTGGTTGCAGACTCGATCCCTAGTGGGGGCAAGGGGGACAGGAGCAGCCGATCAATGATTTCCTGTCATCATTGATGTTTCTCTCTCTCTCCCATTTCCTCTGTAAAATCGATAAAAATATATATAAAAAGAAACCTAGAAATGTATTAATGGATTGCATAGGGTTACAAATGGGAGGGTGGTTTCTTTCTCCTTTCCCTTCCTGATTGGACACTACCAAAGCAGTAGGTTAGGCAAGCAGCCCAGTGCCAACGGGTTAGGGTCTCTGCAGGACACCTGTCAGAAGAGATTGGAAAGTGTAATGGATCACCCGGCAGTCTGAGGACTGAGCGGTCGCAGCCACTGCAGGTTTTTGTCTCTCTTGCTGAAGAGGTATCTTTGTAGTCTCTGGAGAAAGCTCAGGTAGCTGTTTGTGGCTTTCGGGATCCTGTCCTGACAGGGGAGCTATCTGAATGGAGAGAGATGCTGTGTGTTTCTCGGGCACTGGGTTAGGGGGCGGTGAGCAGGGCCTTTTGAGGAATGATGGGAGGTCGGCAGATTTGGAAAACGGTGGCGTATTAAAGGGGATGCTATTTCCTGGATCCTGGTTATGGATTAGTTTCAGTGTAGAAATTTTCCGCGTTTGAGAATCCTGCATGTAGTCCTCTTGTAGGAATGGAGCACTACTCGTGTCAGCATTGGGTGGGGAGCCTGTGCGGGGAGCTGCTGGGAGCAGGTTAGTGATTTTCTGTGTGTACGACACAGTCGTGTTAGATTCTTCAGAATACACGATTGTTTGGCCTGGCTCGTCTTCATCAGAGTGCACAGCTCCTGGAAGAAGTGTTTTATTGGTAAAGTACTCTGAACAAGAAGGGACGTGTGTGTTAGGTACTCGTGGGTCTAAAAGGTCACTCTTGGTGTGACTGCTGGTCAAGGAGCTACCAAAGCTCTCTTTTCTGAGTGGTGGGAGGGGTGCCTGGATTGCCAAAAGCATCCGGAGAAAGAAATGATGTTGAAAGAAAAACAGAGAGAAAGTCAAAGTTAGTCATGAAAGAAAACCAGTGTTAACGCCATACTTAAAGAGGCTAAAGCAATGTCATACCTTCTCATTATGGTATACATTTTGTTGGCTAGCCTGATCAATTTTATTCCATCAAGAATGCGTTTTATTTTATTATCAAAAGCTGCCTTCGAGGGGAAAATAGTCTTTATTCGGAATACATTATAAAGTTTGTCTCCATCTACATCCTGGGAAATTACCTTAAAAGTGAACACCTGTTCTCTTGCATATTTTCAGGCTTTGAAGCACACATACTCTCACACACACACACACACACACACACACACACACACACTTTAGTTACATTGTTTTGATAATTCTTCTTATGCAGCAGCACAATTTTGCTTATATCTCCAACACAGAATTCCTTCCTATAATGAACAGTTGCATGACTCATATTTATAAGTGCATAATGATTGCTGATCTCATTACTTTGAAGTCTAAATCATCAGCTGATAACGTTTTTGTAATTCAGGAAAGAACCTAAACATCACGTTAGAAACTGACCTGCTTTTATCAGCCTAGTGAAAAAAAGAACCTGTGTTGAACTTAAGACTTGCTTACCATATTGTCTATACAAGTCTGACCAGCAGTACGAATAGGAGAGCAAAAACATATTAAAAATAAAACATGTACCAAAATATGCACCTATGACTAGAAAAGAGATGCTAACATAGAGGGCTAACAGCCTTGCTTTCAAATCATACAGACAAGAGTACGCGGGAGTACCTGAGTGGGCGACCTTTTGTCTTGTAGGTTTGGTCGGACGCTTCTAAAGCCTTTTGCTGCAAGAGAGGAATACGTAGCATCTCCGTTCAGTGTGTCTTGATTTTGGTCAGTGTAAGATCTCCAAGCTTTTATTAAGGGAACACAAATTGGATACAAACATATCTGCATTCACTTTTAATGTTTTTTGAAATAAAAATAAATGCGAAGTTTTCTTTAGAAATTTAATTTAATTGGATATGCATAACTGTGCATGCAAGTTAACTTTACTGAGAGGTTCCCAATGTGGTTATGAATATGTTAAAAAACAAAAACAAAACAAAACCCCACACAACTCACAACGCCCTAGCCGGTGTGGCTTAGTGGGTTGAATGTCCTCCAGTGCACCAAGAGGTCACTGGTTCGAATGCCAGATCAGGGCACGTTCCTGGGTTGTGTGCTTAATCCCCAGGAGAAAGTGTTCAGGAGGCAGCCAATGGATGATGTTTTTGTCTTTCTCTCTCATTCCCTCTCTCTTTACCCACCTCTATAAAATCTATTAAAAACCCCACACATTTAAAAAGAAAAGAAAAAACAAAACAAAAGAACAAATGGAATGGTTATCCAGAAGAGCTTTTCTGTACCTGAGTCTGGTGACTGAGAATCACGCCCTAAAAGAAAAAGAAATGTTCAAATTATTATGAGGGTAAAGGAAAGGAACAATCAAGTAAGATCGTTTGTCAAAGAACTACATGCATTTGAGGGGGGCAACATTATCTCAGTTTTAAAATTCTGGGTACATAAAATACACCAATGAGAAGTTTGTACATTAATTTCTTACTTCAATTAGAATATAATTCATTATATAACCATAATTTATAATTAACGCATATATAAAACACTGATTCCTCCCCCCTACCCCGTGTTATGGCAACCAGTAATTTTATCGTATTATTGCCCATGCAGAATGTATGAATATCTAAATGTCAATTTAAAGCATCAAAAGGTATCTGGCTTGTATACAATGAGTGTTTCTCCAGCATTAAATCAAACCTCTGGATCCTTAGCTCCTGATGCCCTGGTATTTCCATATTCAACTCCTGTATGAGACAGCAATATTTTTTTGTGTGTGATTTGACTTTTTTAATTTGTAGAAAGTATAAATGTATCATATAAATATTATATGATACTTCAAGTCATCCTTTAGACTGAATATTCTTATTATTGCCACTTAAAGTCACATTCTATTCAAATATGAAAGAGCTGTTATAGTATAGTTCATTGTATTGCAGTAAGCTGTGGAAAACAAATTTCAGCACTAAGAAATCTCTTTGGATAATGCAGGAAGGAAGTGGCTCAACGACATATTTACTATTAGTTTTACTGAACTCACACATTCAAGAATCTTCTATAACTTAGGAACATTGGAGGTAATTGATTCGCATTGCTCGGTTCTATTATGTCGCTTGGCCAACTTCCCCTGATATCAGAAAGCCTTAACTTTGAGAAGGCATTCGGGGTCATCCAGCTTCACCTCTGTCCTGGCCCTGGATCCCTTCTACATGTCCCCCAAGGCCATTAGTAAGTTGCTGTTATTTCAATGCCCAGTAGAACATGAATGTTATGTGCAATAATGACTCTTCTTTTTCTTTTTAATGCTTAAGGAATGGCTATTTTGGAATGTAAACACATGAATTAGGAATGATAAAAATTAGCTGAGAAATGCAAGAGTTTGAATTGAGATAATATATCTGATGTAGATTCTTTCCAAATCAAAGAAAGAGAAATAAATGAGCCAGCACAGAATATGTTAGAATGACTCCAGCTCCAATGCGGTAAAGCAGACTAATAAATCTTCATTTTTTAAAAGAGGATATTTGCTAATTTAGTATGGATCGTAACTCCAGTAAATTCCAAATCAGGGAGATAAACGGGGACCGTGCAATGAAAATAACTTTGAGGAGTTACATATGAAATGCTTACTAGACTATCTCCAGGATTTGATGGGAGCAGAAATGATTGTACTTCTTAATCACTTAAATGATAATGAGGACTCTATAAAGAAAACAGTGTAACACACAGAGCAGCAACTAGAATTCTGCTGTGAGCAGTCAGGGGGAGAGATTTAATAACCACCTGGTTACCACACACTGTGGGTGGATACGGAACAAGTTTTGGGACGTGAAGAAACAGCAATGAAAAGACAAGCAGTATGGATAGTAATTATTATTATTATTATCTGTATTATAGTTATATGCTTGAGAATAGGGATTTCACTTTACTCTGGCTTGATAGAACTGGGTTTTTATAAAGAAGAGTGTGTGAGTATGTATTGGGGATGGAGGTTATAGGAGCCTGATGCTTGGAGATGCAGGAGGTATAGGCGTGGTGAGGAATAGGAGGGCATATTGAGAAGATTTGAAGGATACTTTGAAATAAACTTCCTCTGACTGATGGTTTGTAGAGGGTCAGTTCTTTTTCTTACTGGTGACTGCATTAGAGATTATGGAACAGTGAGTGGGATAGACCGTAGTGTGAGAATCAGAGAAGAGTCATTATAAGCTGAATCCAGGGGCTCTCCCCCCTGCCCCCAATACTGAGCCCAGGGATTTCCAAATGAAATTATACCTGTGCTATGGGAAATATGAGCTATTGGTCAGCTGAAAAAAATCCTGCTCAACATAGAAGACATGAATGTGTAGAATTACGATAAAGGACAAAGAATAAAAATAGCCAAGGAGCCGAAGCTGGTTTGGCTCAGTGGTAGAGCGTCAGTCTGTGGAATGAAAAGTCCCAGGTTCGATTCTGGTCAAGGGCATGTATCTTGGTTGCGGGCACATCCCCAGTAGGGGGTGTGCAGGAGACAGCTGGTCGATGTTTCTCTCTCATCGACGTTTCTAGCTCTCTATCTCTCTCCCTTCTCTCTGTTAAAAATCAATTATATATATATATATATATATATATATATATATATATATATATATATATATATATATTTCATATATATAAAAAGGCCAAGGATTAAAACTTCAGGATGAACCGTATTTTAATGAAGTTTATGTTAATGATGGAAGTCCACACCTAAGAGGGTGGTCTCTTAAGAATACTCAAGTATATAATGCTGCAGTTCATTTAAAATAAACCCAATTATAATATTTAAAGCACCCAATCCTGATTTTCTATTTTATTGTAGTTCTCCAGAGGCACTGAAAGATAAATAGCTCCCACATGGATACTGTTGACCTCAGTCCTGCTTTTATTTCATTCCTGCCAGGAAAGGGTAGGAAAGGGAGGATGAGCATGGCTGGAAGCAGGTGACAGAAAGCATGAAAGCATCCTGGGTCCATGTCAAGTAAAGAGAATATATGTGTGTGTGTGTGTGTGTTTTAAACCTTCCTATTGAGCTATATTATGCTAAGCAAAATGAGCCATTCAGAGAAAGACAAGTATCACATAATGTCCCTCATATGTGGAATCTAATGACCGAAATAAACCGATGAACAAAAAGGATCCAGAGACATGGAAGCACGTAACGGACTGATGGATCTTAGAAGGGAGGGAAGGGGGGGGGGGCAGGAAGAGAATAACCAAAGAACTTATATGCATATATGTATAACCCATGGACTCTGACAATAGTGAGGTGAAGGCCTGGGGAGCGAGTGGGAGTGGGGTCAATGGGAGAAAAAAGGGACATCTGCAATACTTACAACAATAAAGATAAATTTTAAAAAACTACTGAGCTGGTAAATGACTTGACAGATGCATGGGGAAGATGGTTTTGTCCAATGTCTTCCATATTATTTATGATCATTCATTGTAAGAAACAGAGCCAGAATTCTAGGGATCAGAGTTCTAAATTTCTAGTGTTCTTTAGTAGATGGTCACTGTGTCTCTGAGATTTAAGAATGAGTGACTGGGTCAGATGTGAACAGTGTCTTTGAGAATGAAGAGCCATGGCCCCTCTCACTGGTGCCATGAGCACTCCCTGTGCCCGGCAGAGGGAAGTGAGGACACTGTCACAGAGGTTGTGCAGGCTCATTGCAGGGTCGGTGTCAGGGGTTGGACTCCATGCCCTCAGACGTCCTTTCCAACTTTATGATTCCAACGTTTGAATTCCTTTTAACTGACGTGGTATATTAGACATAATAAACTCAATTTTTCTTGAAAATTAGGATGATTTTAAATCTTATAGCTCCTTCCATTAGAGGGCTCAATTACTTTGCAAGAATTAATTTAAACCCATTAGTTAAATTCAAGCCAACTAATTGAATGCCTGCAGTGCCTCTAAGTACTGGGATAAGACTTTTTATTTGTTTTCTTCATTTGCCCTCATTTAATTTTGACAAATCTTTGGGAGTCTAGAAAATGATTAAGTTCTCAGAGAAGTAGGGAAACAACAAATTACTCCTCTCCTCCTCCTTCTCCTCCCCCTCCTCCTCCTCCTCCTCCTCCTCCTCCTCCTCCTCCTCCACTTCTTCTTCCAGGACAATGTGAGTTACAGACACGAATTTTCCCAGGGTGTAAGACACGCAGGTGCTGTTCCTGGGGCAGTGGTCACGACTGCATTGCATCCTCTGCAGTGTTACCGGAGACTGCCAGGTGGTTTTGATAAAATAAAATGAACTTCGAAAGGCTTATCGTGTCTCTCTCTATATTTTTAACTAAACTGAAATGGTACTACACACATTGCAATGAAACTTGCATTTAAAAACTTTTAATATATTGTGGAACCACCTGGCCTGCTATTGAAACTTGGACATTGAAATCCATGTGTGGATTGGAGGCGGTGGGCAGGAGGGGGTTTCTCCAGATGGAAGCTTGTTTTTCCTCAACAACGCGGGAGAGCTCAGGACCAAGGACATTCTGAGCATTTAATCAATGACTACATGTATGTGTGTTCAAGATATTGGTGTGCACAGTGAGAATTAACATGATTCAAGCACTCTCCGTCCCTTTTCCACTTCTGCTCCCAAACTCTGCAAACAGAAATAAAAAACAAAGAAACCTCTCTCTTCCCCCGCAAGGAACCAGCCAAGAATCAGACCTGTCGGTCAGCAGGAGGTGCAGGTCTGTTTCAGGGTCTGGAGTCCCAGGGGCTGTCAGGCTCACGTGGGGCTGCCAGAGCCACGCCCCCTCTCAGAGCAGACTGTACCTACCAGCTTTGGTCAGTCCCCACAGACATTTGTTAGAGATACCCACCTCGTGTCTGCTGGCACCTCACGCTCCCAATTACCTTTGAGAGTACATGTATGCCTGGGGCTGCATCCAGGTATACACGCGGTGCTAATCTTAATTGCACCAACGTGTTTAAAAATACCTTGAGAAGGATCTTTGCTGATTGGATTAAAGGAAGGTTTAAGATCTCTTTCAAAACAAATGATCATCCTGTTTGCAACCTTTGGCGAAGAAGTGAATTAACAAATATTCGGTTTCCTACAAACTCCTCTCTCTGACCCCCGTGTCTCCACCCTTCAATAGTTTTTAGCTTAAAATCAAACAAACCACAAAAGCAACTAAGAGTTCTCTCGATGAAATATTGTTACTTTAGTTCATAAGAGACAAAAGTTTAAATAGTTATTGACACTTGCAGTTACTCAACACATTTTTGGCAAGTCGCTGTTGTTTTTAATTAGATTTTTTAAATGTTTTCTACAAGGTCTCAGTTTCCTTTGGCTTTTTTAATTTTATTTTTAGAACAAAAACAGTCAGGAGGGATAGGAGCTATTCTTGAGACAAGAAATGTAAGAACTTGTGGGGCATTCACAGGGTATTTACAGTCACTTTCTTCATCCAAGCAAGATCATTCTGGAAAGAGAGAAAGGTCAGACAAAGCCATTCAAGTGTGGCACTGTGGCAGTTAGTGATATTATACCTGCAGCCAATAGGTTTGGAGAACTCTGAACTCTCTTCACAGATGTTAATGTAACAGACATGGCGGCACGTTTGCGAGCACACCCACCGCTATCTGGAAGCAAAAAAATGACATAGCAGAAGCCACAGCAAAGGAAAAGCACATGCAATCTCATGCATTTTAAGTGGAATGTGCCAGACATCCATGGGAAAGATGAACAGTCAGCATTAGTAACCAGGGAATCCATATGCAAATTTTACAACTACCCCAAACTCAAAACAAAACAAAACAAAATAAAATAAAATAGAAGGTGTTTGTTTTAGTAATAGATGCTAATGCTTTAATAAAAAATCTTTTTAAAGGATTTACTTAACATTTGATGGTTTTTCTTTAATGAAAACATAAAAGTATAAAACTCAACTTTGTTTATACCATTTGCATTCAACTGTTAACTTTTTAAGCAGGATAACCAGCCTTTTGAGTTATGAATAAGCTCTCTTTCAGGGTTAAGAGCCATAATATAATGTACTTTTGTAGCCATCATTAGGCTTACTGTGTTTTAGCTGTTATGAATCCTGAAGATGGTTTTGAGCACCTCTTGAAGTAAATGCTGTTAACAGACATAGCCATGATATATTTGGTATATGGAATTCTTAAAAAGAAATATAGTATTATGGAAATTCTATGTCTTCCCATAGTTACTATAAGTAATGGAAATAATTAGCCTAGTTGAAATCAAGACAATATTGACACATACAGTATTGAAATGACCATGCTAAAAAAATTAACTTGTTTTTATACTTTTGAACATGTATATAATGATCTACCTATTTACACTTAAGCAAATATCAACATGAAGTAAAGTAAGTGAAAAGGTACCAACTATTATAATGTGATATACGTTTCGAGTTACAAGATTTCTAAAATTGAAAGGTTAATGTTCTATTTATGAACAGATTCCAATTCCATTCCCACATTCCTTTGTACATGGAATGTGCAATAAATAGTTTTTCTCATTCCCCTGAAACCAGAATAACCAAGTTTAATTCTTTTTGAAAGTTATTACAAGAGACAAATAATGTAACCACCAATATGATAACATAAATCATTACATATTGCCACATGCTGTTCTCATTTTTTTCTTTTTCTTTATTTTTTTTATACATTTTTTTTATTTTTCAGTTACAGTTAACACACAATATTATACTAGTTTCAGGTGTACAATGTAATGATTAGACAGTTATACTTTTTGTTTATTTCTTAAGGAAAAGTATCCACTTTGTTTACTGAACATGAAGGAACTTAAGAATGCTTGGAAGCATGATCTGAACTAATTTTTGGTAAAATCACAAGTAGTAAGGTCAATAGACCTTAAAATTGGTGGAATTGTCCTCATATCAAAATATAATTTCTTAACCATGTTTAAAAAAACAGTTTTCTAATGCATATAATAATGAAAATAGAAAAATGAAACAACTTAAAGTCAAATAAATCAAAGACTATAATTCAAAGGCCCAACATAGAAAGACACAAATGGTGGAAGCATACAGCTAACGAGAGGCACCAATGGGATATAGCAAACTCTGCAAATTGAAAATAGCTGTGAGGGATGAGAGTTTCTGATAAATGGAGGGAATGTTTTTGAGTATGCGGTTGTAGCAGCTTCGATGGTCTAACAGGGTTGTGTAGTCAAGGGTGCTGAAAGTATGAACTGATGGCTCTTGAAGAGATTTTATTTTCTAGTTCTAGCAATTCTGAACATCTGAAGACAAGCAGTGAGAAAGACGAAAAGGGGGGATTTCAGAATGAGAAGATTCAAGGTCATTGGTTAAACCTACGGTTCCCAAACAGTGTTGGGGTGCCCCGGCTACCTCAGTTGATTCATGAGGGTTTTGAGGGATATTTTACATTTTTTAGGAAAACTCAGTAATATCTATTATTAATAGATACTGCATGAACTACTAGCCTGAGTTAGTTTCCAGTTTCACCATAATAAACTTGTGTTCTCTTCCTTTAGATGATATTATATCTTTGAAAAGTTGGGTTTTTGGTGATGGCTATGACAAAAAAGCAAGAACAAAATAAAATGATTTTTTTTTTCAATTTAAGTTTTTTTTTTCAAATTGTTTCTGAGTCGACAGAAAATAAGTACTTATGAAGTTGTTTGCCCTAAATAGTTAATAAATGGAACTGTATTTTTTTTGGCCTGAGAGTGTGGGAACCTCTGGGTTAAATGACAGCTATATTCTAAGGAACTCTAAGACCTAGGTGAAATAAGTGAAGAATCTGTCTTTATTAACAGTTTAATAAGGAGCTTAATTAGAAAAGTTGAGGCATTTGTGAAATTGCTGGGACAGAGAAATCTATTCTATCCCATTTCTACTTACTCGTGTGTTAATACTTCCTGTGATTTCTTAAGGATATTTTTGAGGTCTCACAATGAGGATCTGTCTTGCATACTTCAGGGCATTCTGAAGAACCCTAGTGCCACTCTCACCTTCACCCTCGGAATGACCTGCGCGGCAACAGTCATGAGTGACTTGCGCCTCTTCCTCTCAGAGACATGATTCTTGGGAGCTGTTTTCATGGCTGAAAACACTCGCATGGGGAAAGCACATACAGAGAATTACTTCCTATCTTTCTCTCTTCACTTTCTTCCAGAACTAAGATTTGCCTTAGAAAATAATGGGTCACAGATTCTTAGAGTGGAAAGATAGCATGTTTTGTACATATTTCTATACCTTACCTTGTTCAGAGATTTTAGTGTAAAAAATGAACACATCTCCTCTGGCACACTTACTACATATTTGACTAAGACAAAAAGCTGCTTTGCTTGAAAACAATATATATATATTTTTAACTTTAGTGAATGACACATAGGTATTAAAGTAGTAATATATGGCTTTAGTGATTGGTAGGTAGATAATGAAGACTAATTTGATTTGTTAGATATTTCAGTACTAATTTTTACCAGTACTTCATTTTGTAGATCTAGATAGCAACAATGCTTTCTTTACCTTCCTACAGCAATATTTACACATATATTAAAAAGTGGCATGTTTTTTTTAATAGCACTATGGTCATAGTTTGGAATTTTAAATAAAGGGTTTGTCACTTCTTACCAATTTTGTGTGCTTAAGTTTGAATATCATATTTTACATGTATATGTACATATAGGTTCACTGATATAACTGTGCAAATTATCATTCTACATGGAGCCAAGCACAATCCTTTTACATGAGAGGATGTTAGAGGGTTATAGTCATGCTGCTATAGCAGAAACCAGGCTCAAGTACCCTAGTGACCTAAACAAATATATAAATGTCTATTTACCTATTTTTCCCATTACAGTTGTATTCTATGCATAGGAGGACTAACTATTAAATGTATTTTACATGAATATGATAGCTTTAGCATAATCACATATTATACATCTGTCATGATAGGGTTGCAATAAATAGGATTCCACAAGGTGAAGGGTTTTGGGAAGTTATGTCCTAAGTCAACTTATGTCTGTGAGAAGATGTCTCAGAACAATTATGGAAATCAATATCTTCCCAGTTATTATTATTATAGTTGTGGAAATATAACTTCCTTTTGCTGGACTGACTGCAGTGTCACAACACAACTTGTCCTAGTTCAGCTACAAGCTGTCTATTCTATTTGCTTTCTTCAATCTCCTTTACCTAATACTAGTTTTTCTTCTATTTCCCAGGTCTTTTTCCCGCACTTCCCATTGTCCAAATGCCTTTACTTGGTTCATCTCCAGGGTTAGAATTTCTCTGGGTTTCTACGTCTTCCTTGTATATTTTGACTGTCTCCAGTATCCCCGTTTTGCCGGTTGCTCTACATGTCTGTGAGTTGACTATGTTCGCAGGGGCCAGCTGACCTCAAGTGCAGAGGTCAGTTAGGGCAGGTTTCTGCTAAGGGGCAGCCACAGCATCACGGGGAATGGGTCATGTGTCTACACTTAATCTAGGGCTCAGAGACCGGTTCTCACCAGTGATTGCTAATCCTCCCTTGATAACAAGAGACAGCAAACTTTCCAGTGATTGCTTGAAAATAAGAAACAGTATTTTTTAAACACAAGTTACAAAATTTCAGTGAGAAAGTTGTTTTCCAGAATTACTTACTGTCGAATTTAAGAATTTCAGGGGAGAAAAGGTGAAACTGTATGCTAAAACATTTCTACTATGGAAAAAATTCATGTCATAGCATGTATCACAAAGACTTACAATTAATCTGTATACAATAACAGAGTTCAGAGGCATTCATGTTGTTACGCTAATTGGAGATACTGTTCTCACATCTAAAAATCTAATGCTTATGACTTTAGGTGTACTGTGTGCATGGGTTAATTAAGCTGATTTCATAGGAAACTTTGGCAATGTCTGCTGACTGTCAACATAAAGGGTTTATAGAATGGGAAAGTTTAAATGTTTTCTACTAGTGCAACCTGCCTTTGAATTTAGCCTATTCTAAGAAGGATTTCAAATGCATACATGCAAACGACATTCCACCTCTTCCTAGGGTACATAGGAGTTAATTTCAAGGCACAATTTACAGAAAAAAATTGAGTAAGAGTAGATAAAACCAAAAATTTTACTTTTGATAGTTGTAACACTAGAACATAAAGACAAAGACATTAAGTAATGAATGAACACTATCCATCTAATCAGAAACTCAGGATCAGCAGAGTGCTAACCTAATGATTTAGTAGGGCCAAGATGATGTTTAGAGAGCAGGGCTGAAAAGGTTAAAACTAACAGAGATGGCATACCTGTATTCATTGTGACCTTGGAGGATTTGTTATTAAAGTCTTCAGTTTCCCTGTAGAAAAAAAAAAAAAAAAAAAAAAAAAAAAGATGTTTTAATTTATTCACCAGTGCATGGAACAAAATATCATAACATGCAATTGGTTTTGTTTTTGGAGTACATATGAGTTAATATTTCATTATCATTAGTCTTATTTAAATCAGGGCTTAATAAGATGGGCAGAATTTATAATTCTATTGAAGTTAAATTTCAATTATTATTAGTCCTATGCTCATAATTATAAACTTAAGTTTTTACTTTACGGTGACCAGTAGTGGATGAAAATGAAAAAAAAAAAATTCTCATTTTAAAAAATTCAATTTCTCTCATAAGCATCTATATATATAAAAGCCTAAGCAACCATTGGCTGGTTGCTATGATGCACACTGACCACCAGAGGGCAGATGCTCAACACACAAAATCAGTCTCCCTCCTGTCTGGATCAGGCCTGTGGGGATTGGGCCCAAACCAGATTTCCGACATTCCCTGAGGGGTCCTGGATTGTGAGAGGGCATAGGCCAAGCTGAGGGACCCCACTGGTACACGAATACATGCATCAGGCCTCCAGTTTATAACTAAGAGGTTTTGCTTTTTAAGCTTGAAGAGATCATTAGTAATAAAGTGCCATATTTCAGAATTTTAAAATATACCCAGGAACTTTGAAATCTAACATATATTATTCAATTTGTTATATTTTATTTATTACTGGACCAATTTATTACCAGGGAATACTTAATATATATATTTTGAACAAATAGCCAAGGAAGATGAGATTCATCTATTTTTAAGATGCAGGAAATAAATGTTTACTACAAAACCCATTTCTGTGTCAGTATCAGACACTCTAGCTTTTCCCAGTGAAGTGTTTGATGGATAACAATTGAGATGAAGTCATTAAAAATGGTTGCGGCCTGGCTGGTCTGGCTCAGTAGTTAAGTGTTGACCTATGAACCAAGTTGTGGGCTTGAACCCCAGAAGCGGGTGTGGAGGAGGCAGCTGATCAATGATTTTCTCTCTCTTCCTCTCTGAAATCAATAAAAAATATACATTTTAATGAAGCGTTTGCAGAACAATGGTTATTGTAGAAAAACATTTTTTAGTGTTGAGTATTATTTTATGACGCATGAGATGACTTAGTTCTTTCCCTGTCATATCATCTTAGCCTGTTTTTAGCATTTCTAATTTATCCACACCCTAAGACCAAAAAGGAAGGACTTGCTGTCATAGGAAGCAAACCTTACAAGAGCAAGAGCTCTCTGGAGATGTTGGATCCCAGCCACCCTCCCTTTGCTAGTGGCTAGCGCCTACTGTTGGATGGACATGAACTTCCGAACACCACTCACTGAGTTGCCATGTACATTAGCACTCTTAACATCTAATAGTTTAAAAATTTATTTATACTTTGTGGATGAGTGGGGATAATGTTGAAATGAAATCATCTGCCACGATTTGTCAAAAAAGACTTTTGATAAGTATGTTTTTCTTCAATCCGCAAAGGGCACCAGATGAGCTTCTTCGGCTTCCTGGTCTGTCTGCCTGGTCCTTGCCCTCTCCACCTTTCAGAACATGACTCCTGTCCTCATGTGCTCTGCTCACTTCATCACCTATCATTTTCCTCCACTGTGGCCATTGCACTTCACCTCTGTTAGAAAGCTTAGTTTTGTTCATTACTACTGTGAAATTCTAATAAAATTAAAATGCAAGCACCAGCTAAATGTAATATATCTATTTCCTCTCCCAGGGTGGGGAAAGAAATGGTGAAATAAAATAGCGTGAAAATAGTAACAATTAGGGACCTTTTTCTAGTCAGATTTCCAATGCTTTACTAGAGAATTACTTATTTCCAGGAACTTAATTTTTTTTTTATAACATTAAGTCCCTAAATGTAACCAATTTTCACCAGATGGTTTCATCTTCATCATTTATCTAGAGCAGTTTTGCTTATATTTAGCAGCTATTGTTGGAGAGAGATTATAGCATTGTTAGAATTTAAGATTTTATTAATTTAAACTTAACTATTTTAAAAATGTGTATTATTTCAAATGATTAATTAAATCTGTTTCTTTTTTGTTTCTTATACACATCATACTTGACTTATTCAGTCAATTCTTTTGGGCTATGAATTTTTGCAAATTTATTGGCAAATACTTTTTGTGACAATTTTGAAACATGGACTATACTGTTGATTTTTTAAAATATATTTTATTGATCTTTTACAGAGAGGAAGAGACAGGGATAGAGTTAGAAACATTGATGAGAGAGAGTCATCGATCAGCTGCCTCCTGCACACCTACTTCTGAGGATGTGCCCGCAACCAAGGTACATGCTCTTGACTGGAATCGAACATGGGACCCTTCAGTCTGCAGGCCAATGCTCTATCCACTGAGCCAAACCAGTTTCAGCAGGATTTTATCTTTGATGGCTACACTGAATTAACTGATACCTTGGTACTCAATGAGGGCGAGGGTAATGATCATAAAGAATGAATACAATCACAGTGCTGATTCCACCCCAATTTAATTTCAGAGTTATACACGGAAGACAATTCAGATGCTATTCTTGTTCTGTATGCTTTCAGACCATCCAATTATTTTCAGTGTCATATGGAACTGGACACTCAGTACCATGATTTTCCAGTGGAGTTCACAGTAAGACTTCATAGGCCAGTTTGACGTTAAAATGGGATTTCAGTGCGTACAAATTAACAGCTCCTCTTCCCCTCCTGACTCCCCCCCAGCTTTCTCAGAATACACAGAAAATTATGACACATCACCGAGAAACTGCTGGTAGCCTGCACACCACCTGTGCTGAAGAGACAGAGGCCAGTGAACCGGGAGGCGGCGGTGGTCAATGCAGGAGGCTTGAGAAAGCTCCGTCAGATTATTTATCTTACTCTCTCAGTAGCAAAACTCCTAATATGTTAACCTTAAATGGACAAAATAAATGGAAAGGAAAACCCTCAGGGGATGTCTGTGACCGAGGCTAAAACAAGAAGGGATAAACATTCTCCAGAAATTGAGGACTGCAGGGACATTCCCCAGATTCTCTTTTCTCCTTTCCAAGAACACTTTATGTTTAAAACTGCTTCAAGTTTTAAAACTGAATGACAAGAGAGGGGGCTTGGACGGGAACCCTCCTGATGGATGGAATATTAAATCTGTCTCAAAGGTTGGGCTCTCAGAGTCCAGCACCTACGGATAAAACATAATGATGCTTTTTATAGTGAGTTAAAGAACTAATTGTCAAAATGTGTTGTTTGGATTCAACTGCATACATTTACCAAATAGCTGACATCCCAAAAGTAAAATCGGATTAGCAGGAACAAAGACAGGCGCCACAAATCCTTGAGCGTTTCATCTTTAAAGTGATGTATCCTGTTACTTATAAAGGAAGTTTGTGAGTTTTTTTAGACTTCACACTGGTGTACATGCCAAAATGTGAAATGACTAACTTCCTAGTCAGCAAGATGTTTTCCACGTTGTTAAGAGCCAAGTGATGGAGCCCCCAAAACTGATACCCAAAAACGTCTTGGGTAACTAGTAAAAATGCACGATTCCATTTCCATTATTTGCACAAAAGCCATTAACAAACCCATGACAGAGAGCTCTCTTTAGACAGTCTATCCGAAGTGGATCTATTCCCTTTTGTTGGGTTCTGAAAATGTGTCTTTGATTGGACTTATATAACAAGCATGGCTTATTCTGGAAAGCATCAAATTCCTGGAGTGTTTGAGTGCTAACGGAGGAGACAGTATGTCAAGTATTTCCTTAAATTGGAATTGAACTGGGACCAAGGCAGTGAGAACGGACGGTAAAGTGCAGATTGCCTTAAACTTCAGCAGATAATCCACAGAGCAAAGAACTCTGTGCATTAGAGAGTCAGAAGTGGGGTCAGCAGAGGGTGTGGGGCTGTATTCAGTTCTTGCTGGAGTTTTGGAGGAAAGACAACTTTATAGGTTTCTGAATTCATGGATGGCAATGGATTTGCTTTTTGTTTGGGTTAGAGCAGTTTCACCCCCAATCAGTATGTGGCAATAGGTTGTGTTGGTTGTTCATGCATGGCCACATCATCGGTCTGTGAGTATAGTCTTCTAATTCTGCTTGAATGTCTTTCAATAATCAGACATCCCATTGGATTTATGGATCAGAACAGCCTTTTATCCCCCACATGCACCGGCAGCAGAGGGGGTATTTTAACTTCTGAACGAGGGTTCCAGGAAGATGTTTGATTGATTGTTCATGCAGAGGCACCTACATGTCTGGGCCCAGGATCTTGTAACGAGGCTTGAGTTCTTTCATCAGGCATCTCACTCTGCAGGGGAGCAGAGGCACATCCTGTCCCCAATGTTGGCCGAGAATTGTGTGTCACTTTACTTTTGTAGACTTGCATTTCGGCATCAAGGCCATCTAAACAACAACAGGACCCAGTTTTAGCTCGGTTAATGCGAGAGGTTGCCCAGAAGATTGCTCATGGAATAATCGTAATCCAAGAATTGCTAGGGCTCGTTTGAAATTAATCTATTCACAATTCATATACAACATTATTCAGAATAAAGGGCACAGTCTACGTGGTAAGAAAACATTGACGGATGTTTGATTTCTTTAGAGATCTATTTGAAACACAAGAAGGAAAAAAATGATGCCTATGAAGGTTATGCACCAGATTTACCTGAATTTACTTTGAAATGGGATCATGTGTATCATTTTTTTTTCTTGATAAACTACCCTGAATAGTCAATACATCCTGCTCTCTTTCTGAGGGAGGTAGGATTAGAAGTATTCAAAAGTGCCAAGTGATTTCATTATTTAATTATACTGCAATGATTTCACGTAGGTGGAGGACGTTTATTTTTACTTATCTTTTCTAATACTCCGTCAAACAGGCTGCTTTGAAATTTGCACAGGAAATAGCCCAAGTAGTTTATTTTGCCCTTTACCGTCCTTGAGATTAGACACAGAAGAATCCACCTCAACTCCTCTTCTGAGTGGTTCCTCTTACTTGACAGCCAGTATCTG